AACCAAGGTACATGCCCTTGACCAGAATCGAACCCGGGACCTTTCAGTCCCCAAGCTGACGCTCTATCCATTGAGCCAAACCGGTTTTGGCCATGTGTTGTCTTTTAGAACTGTGTTTCTCTTGGGATGATTTCTCAGGACAATGTAGTTCACTCAAAACACTTTAGTCAAGAGATATTCCTGGAAGCAGAGGTTGATCTATTTATAGTTGAAGAGATAGATAGAAAAAATAATTATGACAATTTTATTGAAGTCACTATAAAACTTATGAAATATTAGTGTTCAAAGAGAAGACAAACTCAGTTATAAAATTTCATCCAGATGCCAAAGACATTTGTGGAGAGACTGAGAGGTATCCTTGAAACTAAGTAGATGCCTTAACAGTGTGGTAGAGAAGGATTTCATAGTTACCAAGAACATCCAGGCATTAAATAGCAAAATTTATATATTTCATGCCAAAATAGACACATTTTTCTTGTGCTAAACTGCAGACTGCCACCATTCAGTTCAAAGGTTCTCATCATCATATCTGGTCTGGACTTGTTTCTTTTTTTATAATGGAGATTTTAATTCACATACCATAAAATTCATCCTTTAAAAAATGCAGAATTCACTATTTTTAGTACACTGAGTGGCCAGATTATTATGATCTCTGAACTCATAATAATAGGGCCACTCAATGTGTATCCTATGCAATAAAAGACTAATATGCAAATTGTCCCCTTGACCAGGAGTTCGACCAGCAGGCAAGCTGGCCAACCATCCACGTCCCTTTCCCCTGGCCAGGCTGGCCAGACCTCACCCATGCACGAATTCATGCACCAGGCCTCTAATATATATACTGAGTGGCCAGATTATTATGTGTTCAGAGATCATAATAATCTGGCCACTTAGTGTATATTCACAAGATTATGGGGCCATTACTGATGTCTAGTTCCAGAACATTTTCATCACCTCAAAAGGAAACCTCTGTACTCATTAGCAGTGACTCCTCTATCTCCCCAGACCTTAGAAACCACTTAATCTATTTTTCTGTTTTCATAGTGTTGCCTGTTCTGGATATTATACATACGTGGAATCATATAATATGTAGCCATTTGTTTGTGTCTAGCGTCTTTCACTCAGCATAATATTGTCAAGATTCCTCCATGTTGTGGTATATATAGTACTTCATCTCTTTTCTGGGGTGGACCTATGCAATGTCCTTTTACCTCTTCTACTAGAGTCTCCTACTAGAGTCTTCTACTAGAACCTGCTCACCTCGAAAGTGAGGGTACTCTTTTCCAAAGTTAAATCAGATTATCCCTTTACTTAAAATCCCCCAAAGGCTCCCCATTTTATTTAGAGAAAAATTTGAATTCCTTGCCATGGCCTCCAAGACCTCTCAATGATCAGGACCCACCCTGTCTACTTCTCTAACCTCAGTCCCCCACACTCCACCCATTCACCCCCTGCCTGTTACACTGGTTTCCTCCAGTTTCTTGAATGGTTCAGACTACTTTCTGCCTCAGGGCCTTTGCACGTGATATTCCCTCTGCCTGGCACCTTTTCACAGTTCTTTTGACAGTTTTCTTCTCATCTTTCTGGCCTCTAATATCTTCTCTGAGCAGGCAAGCCTAGATACTCTTGTCTCAAGTATATGTCCCCCAACTCCCAGTCATCTTCTATTATTTCATTACCTTGTTTTAATTTCTTTGTAGCACTTACTACTATCTGAGATTACTTTTGTTTTGTTTTCTCATTGCTATCTGCCAACTTCACCCAAGGCAGAGTTTTTATCTGACTTGGCTACTACTGCATCCCAAGCTTCTAGAATGGAACTCAGGTGCTCAGTTAATAGTTGAAGGAATGCAGATCTTGCCTAGAATTACTAAATCTTCAGATCTTGCCCTTACTCTCAGTTCCTAAAGCTGGGTCTTTTCACCTATTACTAGACTTCGCTATTGTTAACTACTGTCTCGCTGTATTTCTATTTGGTATTTATTGCCAACTCTCCCCTTCTCCTGACATGCAACCTTCCTACTCTTCCTAATGCTTTTTGTTGATGACTTTTCTGGACATTCCTATGACAAGCTAGCAGGTCTAGCCAATCTGGAAGTCCATGATCTAACTGAGTTTTAATTCTTGCAGGCAGTAAGCAGAAATTGCCAATGTGTGGTCAGGAATGTAAGCGATAACAGATGAGAGGAATCAGCATGGTACTCAGAATCCCCCATCCATCTTCTTTTATCATCCAATCACATAATGGCATCACCATTAGTTTGCAAGGCTTTTCTTCAGCATTTCTTCAAAAATAACAACTACATACAGAGAGTAGAAAATCCCATAAATAGGGAGTAAAATTTACTACACATTTAACTAACAAAAGTTCTGGAATACATAAGACATGCCTACACTAGGATGGAAACACACACACACACACACACACACACACACACACACACACAAACCCTAACAATCCCTGGGAGAAAATGGGCAAAAGAAATACATAGACATCTCACTAAAGAGAAAACAATAATGGCCAATACATTTGTGAAAAGATATTCACCCTCACTCGTACTGGGAATTGCAAATCCACAGTGAGATACCACACCTACCAGACTGGCAAAAGTAATTGCAAGGTCGAAGTAGAGTGTAAATCGGCACATCACATTGCAAAAACAATGTAGAGCAGAGTTTACTAGATTATCCTCTGTGACTTAAATCCTCTGCTCCGAAGTTATACCCCAGAAAACTCTTTCACATGTGCACCAAGGAACTTGTACATGAACATTCAGAACAGCTTGGTTTGTGCAAGAAAAAAAAAAAAAGCAGAATTTGTAATGCATGAGTTTGTCTTTTGCTGATCCTCTGAGAGCCACCTGGTTAGAAAGCACTGAGCCCACTATCTTCAGACTTCTCTCTTTCCACTGACATCTCACCAGTGACATCGGCCACTGAGCGCAGGTGGCTTCTTTCAGTGAAACAGGAGGAAAGCAATGAGGCTTTCCTACATCCTCATTTCATTTACCTCCTTTGCATCATATGCACTACTATTTTATTACTCTGGGAATGAATCAAAGCACAAGCACTCTTGAATCAAAGCTGTTCTCATCCATCCTTGGACCTGGACCAGGCTCTATCATCTGGCCTTGCTCACAGGTTTTGTGTGTACAAAGAACTGAAAAATGGTAGCCATTATTTTTGTTCACTGTTTCTGCGGGGCTTATAACCTGGCTTCTCTCTGTATTTCTGACAGAGCACTATCCCAGTCTGCCTCGTAATGCAGCAATGTGAGTGTGAGTTTGGGCTTCCTTACCTAATTGTAAATTCCTTTGGGGAAGGTCCTCCTGTTACTAAGTGTGGCATCTTTAAGGGCAGGCCTTGATTATAGCGAGCCGCACAATGCACGCCTGATACATTAAAAAGCCTGATTGGGGGCAGAGCCTCTTGGGAGAGTAGAAGGGAGAGCGGCTCTCTCACATTCTGACAACCTTGAACAGATGGTATAAATCTCTCATCATCAAAGGAGGAGCAAAATACTTCAACATCCCAGAGATGCCACGAATATGAAAAGAAATAGCAAGGGAAAGTGCCTGACTTAAAGACATCCCTCAAGAAATGTTAATGTACTTCCTTCCTACGCTTTCCTCTGCGTTCCTTTCAAATGGAGATCAAATAAGATGGGCCTTCCCTCGCTCCTCCTGTAGAAGGAAATTAAAACCTTATCGGGCCACGTCCTGAAAGAGGCTGTTCCTGAACAGTTCCACTTAGGAAGGAAAGCACCTACAGGGACCGCAGAAGTCTGGTCACCCTAGAAATCAGAATGCATCTTCCAGGGCTGGAGAGCCGCTGAGCTGCAAAGGAAAAGGGTTATCTTAGGCTTGGAAACCCACCCACAAGGTAACCCCGAGACTTTCTAGACTTGTTAGAAATGTATGTGAAAGATGAGACAGAGGGCCGGAGACCAGGACACAGGCTTTATTAGGAGAGAAGAGTCCTGTTGGGCTGCCTTCCAAAGGAAGAGAGAGCACAAGTGCAGGGGTGAAGGCGCCTTTTGAGGGGAGGAAAGAGAAGGGATGGGGCTTAGGGTACTCGGCACCGCTGATTGGTGGTTTCATATAAGGCACGCGATTAAGGACTTAGGAAGCCGGGGCAGGTGCTGATTGATGGTTCAATGTACAGGCCATAGAAGGTGCCTGGTTAGGTGCTCAGGAATGTTCAGGCTGCAGGTGCAGGTCACACTCCGTCCATCAGTTGGGGGAAGGGAGGACATATCAGTATGTGTGATCCAGCCCCCTCAAGGTCCTTTCTTCTCGACCTTCATTAACAGACAAGTTCATTGCCCCAAGTGGCCTCAGGCCTTGCAGGAATTTGAGCGCATCAACTTCACGGTGGAACCAGCGTTTTCATAGGCACCAGGCATCCTGCTAGGAGCTGGGAGGGATGAATGAGCCAAGTGCTATGAGGTCAGAAGAGAGGGTCCCACAGGAGGGTGGGAGGGCAGGGCAGGGCAGGCTTCCCCAGGAGGGGGAGGAAGCAGGGACATCCTAGACGCGCTCAAGAACCGAGAGAGGGTGGCCGAATCCAAGTGAAAAGCCCCAGCCTCCTGGGACCACCTGGTCTGCCACCCCCCTTCCGAAGCCACCCCATCCTTCCAACGAAGGAAATGGGGTCCATTGTTTTAATTTCGTCCTCCGCGTTCCCGAAGCCCCGAGGGCGGCGGTGACGAAGCCCTTAATGGCCTGAGTCAGAGCGGGGACACGGGGGCGCGGGTCCCCCGGGGGCGGACGGGGCGGGCAGCGGCCGGAGTGACGCCTGGAGGCCGGGCTGCGGGGGGCGCCGGGCTCCGCGCCGCCTCCGCCCACGTGTCCACGGGGCTTAAAAGTTGGCGGCGAGCGGGGCTGGCAGATCCGCGGCCGAGCCCCACGAGTGCGCTACGGGAACGCAGAGGCGAGGCTAGGACACCCATCCCGCGAACCCCGAACCGTCCGTCCGTACGTCCGTCCGCAGGCGCCGAGATGCCGCCGGCAGCAAGCCGCGTCCCCAGGACGCCCCCCGGACGAGGGGCCGCAGCGCCCCCGCTCCCGGCGCCGCCGCTGCTGCTGCTGCTGCTGCTGGCCTGCTGGGCGGGCGCCGGCCGAGGTGAGCGCCCCGCGCCCCCCGCGCCCCCCGCGCCCCCCGGCCACCTCCTGGCCGCGCGCCCGCTCCCCGTCCGCCCGGCTCCAGCGCTGCAACCGGGGCGCAGGGGCCTCGGAGCCCCCCGGGCGGGGACAGCCTGCGGCGGGGGAAACTCGCCCACGGGTAACGGGAGCGGGAAGCGCGGGATGGAGATGCTTCCCCTGCGATCGGAGTGAGCGGAGGAGTCCGCGGTCTAAGCAGAACCGGAGGGAGCGCGCTGCTGCACCTGCCGCTGCGAAGTCAGTGTGGAGAGCGCTCCGCCTGCGCCGGAGACACCGGCCCCGCTCTGGTTAGACGGTTAGAGAGAGGGATGAGAGCGAGAGGCTCTGCGCCTTGTAGGTTTCAGGCGCCAGATCCGGAAAAGGATACTGTGTGTGTGTGTGTGTGTGTGTGTGTGTGTATTTATTTATTATTTTTGTGTTTTTATCATACAGGGTTGGAGAGGCAACTGTGCAAACAGGCTTTCAGCTTATGCTATAGCTCAGGTGGAAGGCAGGTGCGACTTGATAGCCACAGGGACGTCCTGAGCTTGGGTTAGAGGAAAGAAGTGGGAAAAGCAAAGACATGGTCAGGGGGAGGTCGGAAGCTTGGGAGGGTAGAGCAGAGCGCACCTCAGAGTGGGGAGATCCCTTATCTTGACAGGGGCCTTGAAGGACCCTCCTTCAGGGCAGCCACTGGTCTAAGACCATGCATTTCCCAGCTTCCCTCTTCCCCCTGTCAGAGACAGCAGGCCGGTTCCTCATTGTTCAGAATGTCACCGGGAACAGGAACCACAACTGCAGGGACCTTTCAGAGCACGCAACTCTGCTCTCAGGTAGAGGTGGGGAGACTGAGGCTATTTTCTCTTTTCTAATGTATTTCTTTTTATTCTGTCCTCTAGTGGTTTTGGTTTTCTCCTTTCCTTGGTGGTGGTGGGAGGGGAGAGGAGGAAGAGTCCCCTGCTTGAAAAACAAGGTAGTTTGACTTTGAGGGCTAAGCAAACAGAAGCGAGGAGACCAGAGCCTTCTCCATCACAGCCAGCAGAGACACAGTGACTTATGCAAAGGAATGGTGATATTTTTCAATTAAGTATTGGTAAAATTAGGAAGGTGATCTTTATCTAGCTTGCCAAGGAAGCAGATAATCATAGTTTTAAACTGTGGTGTATTTTGTCTTGTCTTTCTTTCTTTCTTTCTTTCTTTCTTTCTTTCTTTCTTTCTTTCTTTCTTTCTTTCTTTCTTTCTTTCTTTTTGTTTGTTTCCTTTGTAAAGCAAATGTACTTTCCATGCAGGTTACCTGCTATGTGTTTGCAGTGGTGTGGGCATCAGTGAGCGATACCTGCTTTTGGGGGGAGGGCACTTTGGGGTGCTGCTGATTGAACAGAAACTATGGAAGGCAGCAGCTGTTTTCTAAAAAAGATGCGTCTTGGGCTTCATTTCCCAAATAGCCTATCTGCTGTCTGACCGATTGACGCATAAGTATTCCCTGACCTTTCTCAAGCAAAGGGATGAAACACATCTGTCACTACACAGAGACCTCCCAAATGGCCCTTTTGTGTCTTCTCTCCCCTTCAGACTGCTCTTGATACCAAAAGCTAATTTTATGTCTCACAGTTGTGAAGGAATGGGGAGAGGGTGCATACACAGTGTGATGTGCCCCAGTCCTGAATCTCTAAAGATGACACTGATGGGGAGGCTTGACTTACATAAGCACACCTGGGAGAGAATCTACCTGGATTTAACCCTTACAGGAGCTGCAACTGGATGTGTCTAAAAACAATAAATATTAATGTAGGTCATGAAGCCAGAAGAAAATAAAACAGTGTCGATGAATGAATTAGCAGAGCATGCGATAGCAATGAGAAGACAAAGGGCCAGTTGGATTCTGTAGATGGAAACTGTTTACTATTCAGAGAACAATCCTATATAATAAAGATGTAATATGCAAATGGTTGTTATGCCATGAAGTATAAGGACTGACCGTGTAACGACTGGATCACGGATCAGCAGGAGGGTGGGGTAGCAAGCTATGAGTGGGCGGTGAAGAGCTACAGGAGGGGGCAGGGCAGCAAGCTATGAGGGGGGAGGTAGGGGGGTGAGTGGGGGGAACTACCGGAGAGCGAGGCAGTGGGTGGAGAGCTATTGGAGAGAGGCAGCGAGCTACTGGCAAACTACTGGTGCGGAGATTCGTGTGCAGGGCTACTAGTATTAAAATAAAGAAGGAAATTTCCTATAACTGGGAAACACTTGGGATATCTGCAGCAAGCTATCACTTGACTTGATCTGTGACAGTAAGTGATAAGGTGCCCAGGACTAAATTAAGAAGTGTCCTTTTCTAGTCAGGCCCCTGCTCACTGAAGAATTCTTAAAATTCATTTCTATTCCCAGCTCCAGGCAATCACTCATTTTTCTATCACTATTGATTTGCCTTTTTTAGAAATCCCATATAAGTGAAACCATACAATGTTTGGTCATATTTAACTTAGTCTCATATGTCTGATGTTCAGCGATGTTGTAATATATACCAGTACAGACAGTCCCCGACTAATGGTGGCTCGACTTACTATTTTTTTTTTACTTCATGGTGGCACAAAGCAATATACATTCAGCGGAAACTATACTTTGAATTCTGATCCTTTCTCAGGCTAGCAATTAAGGATAGGGCAAAAGTAGGCTTACAATTGTGAGTATGTGAAACAGAGTTTATTCTTGTTCTGTTACTAGTAATTATTTATTAATTACTGTATTATTTTCCATACAAACAACTGTAAACTTTTGCCCCACGTTGTATGTGGTATGACAGGCTCTTGTGATGCTAGGCAGCGGCAGCAGGTCACAGCTCCCTGGGGACTGTGTGATCGTGAGGGTAACCAACTGACACTCTACAGGGTACTAGCACTGTGTTGCCACCATTTTGAGGATATTGTGTTTTGTGTTTTGCATCCCACCATGGCTACAAAATGTATCTCCTGCCTATGGTGACAAAAAGAGGGAGGCAATTACTGTTGAGATGAAACTCAACATAATTGCCCAACTGTAGGCTAATGTAAGTGTTCTGAGCACATTTGATATAGGCTAGGCTAAGCTGTGATATTGGGGTGTAATTCCATCATATGTTGAGGAGCATCTGTAGTTCTTTTATATTATTATTATTATTAATTTTTATTGTTGAAAGAATTTCAGATAATGGGGGGGGGGAGACATGTACTATTTGTAATACTTTAAACAATAAAATAAAAATTTTAAAAAAGGAAAGAAAATACTATAGCTATACCACCACCACCCTCATTTTGCCCCCATCAACCTCCTACAGTCCCTTACCACATTATTGTCCATATCCATGGGTTATGCCCATATACACATAAGTTCTTTGGTAAATCTCTTCCTGTCTCCCTCTCCTCCCTTCCTTCTGAGATTTGTCATTCCTTTTGATGGCTAATAGTGTTCTATTGTGTGGATGTACTATATTTTTTTTACTGATACACCAAACAGTAGATATTTGGATTTTTTTTTGTACTTTTGGCTATTATGAATAATGCTGTTATTCACATTCATGTACTAATACAAGTTTTTGTGTGGACATATGTGATTCTTTCCTGAGAGTAATGCCTTCATAATATTATAAAGGTTTATTTCATAAGTATGTCTTCTTATATGAACTCAAATGTAACTACAGTCATGTGCTGCATAATGACCTTTTAGTCAATGATAGAGATCCTATGCTTATATAATAAAGAGGTAATAAGCAAATTGACTCTCATACCATCTCACAAGATGACTGCCTCCATGTGGTCAAAGATGGCCACCACAAGATGGCTGGCAGGGGAGGGCAGTTAGGGGTGACCAGGCCTGCAAGAGAGGGCAGTTGGGGGTGACTGGGCCTGCAGGGGAGGGCAGTTAAGAGCAACCAGGCCTGCAAGGAAGGGCAGTTGGGGGCAACCAGATTGGCAGGGGAGGGCAGTTGGTAGGAATCCGGCCAGCAGGGGATCAGTTAAGCATAATTAGGCTGGCAGGGGAGTGGTTAGGGGGTGATCAGACTGACTGGCAGGCGAGCAGTTTGGAGCCAGCAGTCCCAGATTGTGAGAGGGATGTTCAACTGCTGGTTTTGGCCCAATCACACAGGGATCGGGCCAAAAATCAGCAGTCGGACATCTCCCAAGGGGTCCCAGATTGGAGAGGATGCAGGCTGGGCTGAGGGACACCCCCCTCCAGTGCATGAATTTCATGCACGAGGCCTCTAGTAATATAATAGAGCTGAAAAATCCCTATTGCCTAGTGATGTCCTAGTCATCTGATTGTCCTGCCATAATGCATTGCTTGTGAGTTGGTATAAACATACTTATTGCACTGACAGTTGTGTAAAAGTATAGCATATACAGTTAGGTAATGCACATGATACTTGATAATGATAAAAAATGACTATGGTGCTGTTTTATGTATTTACTATATTATACTTTTGGTCATTATTTTAGAGTGTACTCTTTACACTGATTAAAAAAAAAAAAAAAAAAAAAAGGTTTACTGTAAAACAGGATGTCGTGTTATGCCAGCAGCAGCCTCATGCATCTCGTATTTGCTGTGTCTGTTAATTGTTCCTTTTCTCTTGTGCTTGATTTAATCTCATGTTGTTTTCATCACGGCCCCTAAGCAAACAAAATCCACCGCTAATCTTGCCAATAAGAGGTGTTTAGTGATTGACCTGGAAACAAAATTAAAAGTGATTGACTACAAAGATGGACATCAGTGATGGTTGTTGCTTGCCAGTCAGGCATATCCCACTTCACCATCACTATAATCTTGAAGAACAAGAACAAAGTGACAGGATCTACTTCCTTGTTAAGGATCTACCTCTTTAAAGTCAGAGAGACTAACACAATTTGAGAAGGACCTCAGATAGACACGGCCTGGATTGGAGACAGGACACAGAAGTTACGCCTCTCAGCACCATGATGTTCGTGGTCAAAGCAAAAAGTTCTAAGCAAATTATGATATGAGAGAGAAAAGGCTGGACCCGACTACACTGTTGAGTTTATTGCTAGCCTCCGGGTGGTTTAAACAATTCAAGACTTGTTATTGATTACATCATGAGAAAGTGAGTGGTGCATCTGACAGGCTGATGTGAAGGCAGCTGAAGCATTTTTGGAAACTCTTTAAGATGATTGTAGTGGAAAATTACTTGCCAGAGCAAATAATGTTCAGCATGTATGAAAACTCCCCATTCTGAAATGGATGCCTGAAAGGACTTGCATCCAAAAGGAGGCCATGTCTGCCAAGACCAGTTTGGCTCAGTGAATAGAGCGTTGGCCTGCGGACTGAAAAGTTCCAGGTTCGATTCTGGTGAAGGGCATGTACCTTGGCTGTGGGCACATCCCCAGTAGGGGGTGTGCAAGAGGCAGCTGATCGATGATTCTCTTTCATCGATGTTTCTAACTCTCTATCCCTCTCTCCTCCTCTCTGTAAAAAATCAATAATATATATTTTAAAAAAGAAAAAAAGAAAAAAAGAAAAAAAAAGGAGGCCATGTCGATGCCAGGTTCCCAGGCTTTTCGGGACAGGAGAACAGTCTTACACGGGGCCATGTCACAGGCTACAAATGGAAACCCTTTGTGATCTGGCAGAGTGAGAACCCCAGGACCTGGAGGCCTATCCATAAGCACGCACTGTCCTTCCTACAGGAGCAATAAGAAGTTGTGAATGACCCAACTTCTCTTCCAAGATGTCCTCCTGAATTGCCACGCTAGTGAAATGAAGTACTGTTTGGAGAATAATATACCTTTTGAGATTTTGGTTATTGTTGATAATGCTCCAAGACATCCTCTTTTCATTGATTTTCATCTCTATTATCAAACTGATAATAGATCCAAACAACGAATCAAGGAATTATAGCACCTTTTAGGCCTATGACAGGAGCAGGAACTTTGAATAGGCTATTGCTGCAACTGAGGAAAACACTGAGAAGAGACTAAGGCAATTATGGGAAGATTACATCTGTGACTGCATCAAAAACCTTTCTTGGGTTTGGGTGATGTCATTGGTTGTTTTTTTCTTTTAGAGAGAGTGGAAGGGAGGAAGAGTGAGGGGAGAGAAACATCAATGTGAGAGAGACACATCTATTGATTTCCCATCCCCCCTCTTACTCTCCCACCTCCCCCCATCCCCATACTCTGATCAGAGCTAGGATAGAACTGCAACCAAGGTATGTGCTCTTGACCAGGAATCAAATCCACGACTCTCCAGTCTAGAGGCTGATACTCTAACTGAGAGAACCTGGCCAGAACCCATTTTCAAATCTTTTATACTGTATTTTTAGTATACCTTTCCTATATTTATATATGTTTAATTATTTTGTATTGATTTGAGAAAAATGTCAATTTGTTGAACCACTTATTTATGCATTCATTGGTTGTTTCTTATATGTGCCCTGACCAGAGATTGAACCCGTAACCTTAGCAAATCATGACTACACTCTAACCAACTGAGTTACCTGGCCAGGGCTGTTTAGATACACAAATAGCATTGTGTTACAATTGCCTGTAGGATTCAGTACAGTAACATGCTCTGTAAGTTGTAGCTTAGAAGCAGTAATTGGCTATCCTATTAGGTATATATTAAGCTAGGTATATGTTAAGTTATACCATCTAAGTTTCCCTAAGTGCATTCTAGTGATGTCCACATAATGACAAAATCACCTAACAATGGATTTCTCAGAATATATCCCCGCTGTTAAGCAGCTAATAAATGTATATATAAATGTTTAATTTTTAAAGAAGTTCTATAAAATTAACATGTGAATAAAACTTTTTTTTTTTTTTTAGGTGCTCCAATTTTACCTCAAGGATTACAGCCTGAAGAAGAGCTACAATTGTGGAATGAGGTAAAGAATTATCCTCATACAAATTAGTGGAAACTATACCCTTCTTTGAACTTCTAGTAAAATGAAATAATATAATTGCGTTTTGGGACAGCTATAATTTTACTAACATTCTGATATTATAACATTTAGGATTATAATTTTTATTAAATAAAAGAAGGAAAAGTGAAAAGAAACAAAGTAAGGTGGCAGAAATAAGTCCTCATAAGAGAGAAATTAAAAAAAAAAGTGGGCTAAAATATACCATTTAAAAGACCGCCATACCTCAGAGGAGGGTGGGGGTGAGGGGGAGAGATCAACCAAAGGACTTGTATGCATGCATATAAGCCTAACCAATGGACACAGACAACAGGGGGGTGGGGGCATGAGTGGGAGTTTGAGGGGCAATAAGGGGATAAGGGTACATATGTAATACCTTAATCAATAAAGAAATTTTTAAAAAGTGAAAAAAAAGGACAGGGCTTCTCAGATTGTATTTTTTTAGGAAAAAAACAAAAAACAAGTTAGCATATGTTATCTATAAAAGATACATTTAAAACAGAAAACAAAACAAAATAGGCTAAGCATAAAAGGATGGAAAATGATGTGCCAAGCAAATATGAATGGCAAAAAATTGGAAGAGCAATCTTATATCTGATAACATAGAATTAAATGAACAAACTGTTATAACAAGGAAGAATGTTATATGCTAATAAAAGAACAAACATAAAAATATAATCATCCTTAATATATATTAACAAAACAACCTCACAATTTATTAACAATTGATAGAACTTCAGGGAATAATGAACAGTTGTAGTTAGAAACTTTAATATACCTTTCTCAAAACAGATAGTTAAAACAGATAACACAAAAGTAGATATATTGAAGACCTAATCATAAAATTAATAAATTTGAGCTGTCATATTTTAAAATCCTGCACTAAATAGTATATACATTTTTTCTAATATAATTGGACATTAATAAAAAAAATAGACCAGTGTTAACACGCAAGGAAAGTTTCCATAAATTAGAAAGGATCCATTTTATTTATATATTTTTAAAAATATATTTTATTGATTATCTTACAGAGAGGAAGGGAGAGAGATGGAGAGCTAGAAACATCAATGAGAGAGAAACATCAACCAGCTGCCTCTTGCACACCCCCTACCGGGGATGTGCCCGCAACCAATGTACATGCCCTTGGCCGGAGTTGAACCTGGGACCTTTCAGTCCGCAGACCGACGCTTTACCGTTGAGCCAAACCGGTTTCGGCAGGATCCATTTTAAAAGTATTTCAATAATAATAAGTATACATTTGCTCTAGAATTTTATTATGTAATTTATCGAGTTAAGAAAATTCTCTTCTTAAATTCTCTTCTAATTTTAAAGAGAGAGGGAGAGGGATAGATAAAAACGTTGATGAGACTTGTTTCTTCTGCATGCCCCCTACTGGGGATTGAGCCCACAACCTGGGTATGTGCCCTGACCTGGAAGCGAACCTTTTAGTTCATGGGTCCATGCTTAATCACTGTGCCACACCGGCTGGGCATGGAAATTATATTTTGATTGATTGATTGATTGATTAGGTTATTACATGTGTCCTTATCCCTCATTGCCCCCTCCCCAACCCCACTCCTGTTCATGTCCTCACCCTCCTGGTGTCTGTGTCCATTGATTATGTTTATATACACGCATACAAGTCCTTTGATTGATCTCTTCTCCTTACCCCCACCCTCCTCTATCTTCCTTCTGAGATTTGAGCATCTAATCAATGCTTCTCTGACCTGGAATCAAACTGGTGACCTCTTAGTTCATGGGTCCTTGCTTGACAACTGAGCCACACTGGCTGGCCATGGAAATTATCTTCAAATATAAATTGTTGAAAATATTACATATGTTCCCTTTTTAGCCCATCCCTGCCTCAGGCCTTCACCACACTATTGTCTGTGTCCATGGTTATGAATATATGCATACAAGTTCTTTGGTTGATCTCTTCCCACCCACCCACCCACCCACCTTTGTCTTCCCTCTGAGATTTCAGTCTGTTCTATGCTTCTGTGTCTCTGGATCTATTTTGTTCATCAGTTTATTTTGTTCATTAGATTCCACATATGAGTGAGATCATGTGATACTTGTCTTTTCCTGACTGGCTTATTTTGCTTAGCATAATAATCTTACTAAGAGTTTTGTTAATCTGAAATCAAATTTGAACTTAATTAAATACGTTATCTGCATCTTTCAAAATAAGCAGTATGCCTTTTCTCCTTTATAATCATAGTGAATTACATTAAAAAAAATTCATTTAGTGTTTTTCAGAAACTTCATAAATGTAACCTAAAATTGATATGGAAAAGTGTAGGTCTAGAAATGGCTAAGGAGATTTTAAATATAAAGAGCTAAGAATGAGAACTAGCCCTAGCAGTCATCAAGAAGTACTAGAAAACTGTAGTAATAAAAAAGGTAAGGACACAGGAACAGACGGATGAGCTAACGGAACAGGGACTAAAGCCTGGAGAGTTTAACAGACACTGTCAGTGCCCTGCTCTGCCTCTTTCACTCACCATTCCAGGGCACTCCGAATTTGCTGATTCTAATCGCATGCCCCTGTGGACCTGCCTGCTTGGCCTGTGCTGAGGGCACATACCACCAGAAATGCCTGGGAGTAAATGTCCCCATGGAGAGCAGCCTCCAATTGGTGACCCAAGGGAGTTGGTAGCTAAACACCTTAACTCTGAGTTCTATGTTGGCTCCCAGAGATCCCCAGACATATTGACCCCAGTTACCAATAGTGATAACCTGCTTGATAACATTCCTTTCATTGGATTTCTTCTCGTCCCTATTTTATTTCTCTTCTATTAGTGCTTCTTGGGTCATCTCCCCCAAATCTACTTATATCAACATCCTTATCTCAAGGCCTGTTTATGGGGAATTTAGGTACACGCAAACTTAACTTACAATACAAGTGATGCTAAAATTCAGTGGGGAAAAGACAGAGTGTTTGGCCAATGAGGGTTGAGAAACTGTCTTGCTATATGGAGGAAAGTAAAACTTAAAAACCTTAACAAAGGGGGGCTCCAGATGGATTAGAGATCCTATATAATAAAAGCCTAATATGCAAATTGACCAAATGGCAAAACGACTGGTTGCTATGATGCACACTGACACTAGGGGGCAGATGCTCAACGCAGGAGCATCCCCCAGCCTGCAGGCCCCAGGCCAGCCAAGGTGGGTGCCAGAGGAGGGGCACCCCCAATCACCCTGCCAGTTGCCTGCAGACGGAGGCAATCGACAGCAGTGGTGGGGGGTGGAGCTGGCAAGCTGGTGATGTCAAGCGGGCCAAGGCAGGTGCCAGTGGTGGCCCCCCAATCTCCCTACTGGTCACCCCACAGATTGGCCCTGATCACCAGCCAGTCCTAGGGATTCTACCCGTGCACAAATTTCATGCACCAGGCCTCCAGTCTAAATATAAAGGGTAAAATTATGAAATTAATAGAAAACATTTTCTACTAGGAAAACATCTTTGCGAGCTAGTAGCAGGGAAAGACTCCCTAAATAAAACTTCAAATATAAATCATAGGGTCAAAAATAATTAATTGAATTATATTAAAAGTAAAGATTTCTTTCAACAAAAGATGCCACAGAAAAAGAAAAGAACCTTTGAAATGAGATATGAACAATGTCTAAACTGATAAGGGATTGATTTCTAGAATAACCTAAGAAATACTATCAAATTAATTGGATAAGGATGGGAATCCTGATAAAAATAGTCAAAGGATAGGGCAATTTAAGATAAAACCTAAAAGGCCAACAAACCTGTTTACAGTGATGCTTAAATTCATTAGTAATAATGAAATGGAAATTAAGAAAGCAGCCAAGTGTCATAATGGCGAATGTTAGCAAAGATGTGGGTGTACGTACCCTCATGCATTGATGGTAAGAGTGTCAACTCAAGAGCCATCTTTAAAGCCACATAGGTTTCCCCATCCCCTCTCCTGGGGATATAGCCCAGATATTCTCCTACAGATCCGTGAGTGGAGGACAGATACTAGGAGGTAAAGGAGGTATTCGAGGGAACCCAGCTGTCCATCATTGGGGAATGTGTAGGCAACATGTGGTGGGTACACATTGTAGGTATTCTCCAACAGCTGGGGAGCAGCATACTAGAGTACCCAGTATCATGGCCAGGTCTCAAAGTATAGTGCTAACTGAAAAAAAAAAAAAAAAGTAAGAAAATACCATATGTGCACACCAAACAACAGTAACATTTTATAGGATCCTAAACAAATGAAGAACCCACATAAATGACAGAAGAGTTGCCCATAGGTGGAAGGAATAGGAGTAGGAAATGGGAATATAAAAATAATAAATAGAGTCCAATGATGACAGTGAGCTATGAACTGAGAAGAATACCCTTTGTACCTAGCCACCCCCAATAGTATATATAAGGGGAAAGATAAGATAGATGGTGAGTGCCAAGTACTAAACAGTCTTTAATTGCATAGAATTCATAAAGTTTTTTTTTATAAGGATCTTTGCTTCAGTATATCAAAACACACACACGCCAGAAAAATATAAACAAGATGAAAGATCATTTAGACAACAGCTAAAGTCTAATAAAGAAACATTTATTTTAGCTTGAAACCATCTACTATAACATTCTGTGGGAAATTTTTGAAAAAAATAATTTAGATGATAATGCTGGGTAAAACCCCGAGATGTAAAAGCCCTATCATTTAAGTAAGTTAAGATGCTAAGAATACTAGAAACACATATTTTCAACCCAAGTACAGAGAATTAATGGACAGGAAAGATGAACAGGCAGCGTCTATCTGTAAAAAAATGAAATGCCAGTCATATGCTAATACATTTTCAACCAAATTCATCAATGGATTCTGCAGAGTTCTCGAAAGCCATTAGCGGCACTTAAAACCATTAGGGCCAGAATCCGAGTACAATGAACAAATGGGTGAGCGATGTTGCTGTGCCCTCTAACAGAAAGGAGAACAAAGACTGAAAAGCTTTGCAATTATCTCTTAATTTAATTAATTGGTGTTTTTTTCTTATTCTGATGTTTTTATTCAAACGATGGGGATGCACTCATTACTTATCTTGGGGCTCTGGAGTTCTGTATTCTTGGACACAATGGCCATCACACACAGATGGGCAGCCTGGTCTGTGGGTGGACAGCCTTCCCCCTGAGCTCAGATACCTAAGCAACACAAAAATGTTAGAAGGAATAGCTTTCTCCAACCTGCTGAATCACAGTAAATATCATTGGGAGGTGATAGATTACACCTGGGTCACAATTCAGAGCTTACATGGGTACCTTTTTTGGCTTTCCTCTCTCAATTGACTTGTCTCATATTTTTTTCCCATAAGTTCAATTACATTTAGTTAAATAATATTTATTGAGAACTTACTCTAGCCAAGTTAGATATGGCATAGCCACTACCCTCAAGAAGTTTATCACTATGTATGTATATGTGTGTATGTGTTTATATTCATGATTCTGGGTTTATATGGCATGGGAGAGGGAGCAAGGGACACGTGGGATAAAACAATTCCCCCACATCTGCGATATATAGAAAAGATGACAAGTTCTGTGAGGATAAAGAGGAGAGAGATCTAAGCTTGCTTTTTAAAAAAAAAATAATAATATTGGACACCTTTGTTATTCTCTAACGGGAGAATAATGTATTTTAGGACATGTTCAACTTGAAAGCAACAAGGAACTTGAGAAATTATGACCGAAGAGTATGATAACCCCTCTTCAGTTTGGTGGGAGAATGGAAATTAAATTAAACTGTTCAAAAAAGGATTCTGAGACTAAAAAGGGGCCCCTGAAATGGTATGTCATAAACCTAGATGATTCTAGACAGATAAGAATCAGTTCCATTGTTTCCAGTTCCATAATAATAATAATAATAATTGCCACAAATAACTTCAGACATCTAGCTTAGTGCTTAACTTCTCAACAGTGTTTTTTAAATGATTAATGTAAGTCTTTTATATTACAGTTTAAAATCTTTCATATTTTCTCTTTAGGACTGCTTAGTTCTTTAGAGTTGCCAAGTGTAATTCAATAAACTCTTGTACAATAGAACCCTTTCTGATGCTGGCCCCGTGATAGCAAACTAGTAGGCTGCCCTTGTTGTGTTTCACTGTCTACTACTAACCATGATATTTGTAATTTAGCACTTATGCTATTATCATTTAATTCAGATGGTATGGCTAGATTTATGTGTAATAAAGAACCACATAATAACAGGGTGCTCCTTAATTCCGAGGTCATTTTTTGGTCACCACTCACACTTCTCAGGCTGAAGAACACAGGAACTATTTTTCCCTCAGTGTTTGAAGCATCTTTATACTCTCTAATGATCCCTATGGACATAGGACCCCTGTGACTGGAGGTGAATTTTTGGAAAATCCCAATTGCAGGACTTCCTTAGAAAGTTTAAGGGGCTCCTCTCCCCAAAATCCAAGAGTCCAGACTATAGAATCAGACTTATGGCGATCCAAGTGTTATTGAAACTTTGGTTACCATTGCATAGGTAACCTGATTTTGTAAAATCTGCTTTCCATTTTCTGCTGTTTTCTGTCAACCTCCAAGATGTAACTGGCATTTTTGTTTTCTACAGATAGATGCTGCTTGTACCTCTTTCCTGTCCATTGGTTCTCAGCCTCAGGTAACTTCAGTGGGAGGTGTTTTGTAATGATGGAGGCATTTGTGTAGTGCTGAATGCTCCATTTTCCCCTTTGGATCTGTCCTGACTTTGTGGACTGGTGCATGAAATTCAGACATGGAGGGGATGTCTCTCAGCCTGGACTGTACCCTCTCTAATCTGGGACCTCTCGGACATCCCTCTCGAAATCTGGGACCACTGGCTCCTAACTGCTCACCTGCCTACCTGCCTGATCGCCCCTAACCACTCTGCCTGCCGGCCTGCTTGTCCCCAACTGCCCCCCCTGCCAATCTGCTCACCCCCAACTGCCCCCCCTTGCCAGCCTGATTGTCCCAACTGCCCTCCCCTCCTGGCCTAATCTCCCTTAACCGCCTCTGCCTGGGCCCCGCCACCATGGCTTTGTCCAGAAGGAAGTCCAAAAGGTCTCCTAGTCTAATTAACATATTACCCTTTTATTAGTATAGATAGAGACCTGGTGCACAGGTGGGGGGCCAGCTCTGCCCTAAAGGGGGTCCCGCTCAGTGTGGGGGTCCTTTGGGGGGGTTGGGCCAGCCTGGCCGAGGGGCCTGGGGCAGTTTTCAGGCTGGCCACACACCCATTGGGGTGGAGCATCCCCGCTGGGGGAAGTGGCCAGCCTGGGTGAGTGGCTGAGGGCCATTTTCAGGCTGGCCACACCCCTTCAGAGTTGGGGTTCCCACTGGGGATCATGGCTGGTCTGGGCAAGGGGCTGATGGCCACTTGGGGGCGGTTTGCAGGCCAGCCAAGCCCCCGGCTTTGTCCGGAAGGTCTTCCAGTCTAATTAGCATATTACTCTTTTATTAGTATAGATGTCAATATATTAGAAATTATTACATCATCTGCAGGTAATATTGAGAGCTAAGAGCTTATGTTGTAAAGTGCGAGGACTTTTATCTCTAAGAAGAATATATATGCAGATAATATTCACACATTTTGGAAATTAAAATGCTAATTAAAATAATGAGCCTGTTGCTGTATTTGGGGGCTGATATTCTATCCCTCAATTGAGTTTGAAACCCATGTGTCTTGATTTTTTAAATCAAAACCACTAGTCTTTACTAATTTACTAGGAAATTAGTAAAATGTATATAGGATTAAATGACTCATATTTATATAGTGCTTCAATAAATTACAAATTCCGTGCACCAGGTCACTAGTATTATTAATAAATATCCCAACAATTTGCGTGGCAGACAAACACATGGAAGAGAACACAGCAGACCTCTGATGCTAGGAAGGATGCTCAAAGAAGCTGTTTCATGATTACAACTATATCCCTCACTAAAGCCAACCATATCACCCATTCACTGTTGTTCAGACGTTGAGGATATTGGTGGCCCCAAATAACCCTTTTGACAGGTCTTCTAAATTATGAGTACATACAGCTGAAAATCAAGCTTCACACATTTTTCTAATGTTGCCATTGTTAACTCACTCTAGATACCTGGCACTGTACTAAGAGCTTTACTGACATTTAATCCTTCCAAGAACTCCCTGCAGTGATGTTGTCATCCCTGATTTATGGCTGAAGAAACCGAAGCTGAAGAGGTTTAGGTAGCCAGCCCAAAGTAGCACAGCTAACAAAGAGTAGAAATGGACTTTGTATTGCTCTAGGGCTGCAGGCCGCTCACCTCCGTAAGTCCGTGTTTTTAACCACTAATTATATCACCCCCATGGTTCCAGATCCTCATTATTTCCAGTGTGCATTTTTAATAAGTCATCAATTGTTTATGGCACTACTGTGCTAAATTCTGTGCAAAGTAGGTTTCGCCTCTGCTTGTCCATTTGTGCTGCTCCTCACCACACCCAGCTGGCTGCTAACCACAGGGAGCCCTGCCCTACTTCTGTACACAGATGCTTTGAAAAACCTGATCCTGGGGTGTGCAGTCAGCAGCCTGGAAGGGTGGTAACTCAGGTTGGGTGCCCCATTGACCACTCCTTCCCCTCCAACTCCCATTGTTTTCGAGCAATCGAAGGACTTCCAAATTATCCAAGAATGAGTAATATTCAGCGAGGCTCGCAGCTTTGGCCTGTAGATTCAGACTTTGCTACAAACAGGGAACCATAATCCCTCTTTTGGCACTGCCTTCCTTACTGTCAGTCATAGAACTCCATGAAATCTTAGCAAGTACTGAGGACTGTGTAACTGGACCACAGTGGAAGCCTTAATCATTGCATATATATTGTACATAATTCCTTTTTTGCTAACTGAAAGGAAGGTTTTATGTTTAAGAGCCAAGTTTTTGTCACGAGAAAAATCAAGGGATTCCACCAGTTTCCATGGGCCACTAGAAGGATTCTAGTCTGGGTAGTTGGAATATCCTTGTTTTCCCAATTTTCCGCATTTATATATCTTCTATGAAAATGTTGTTAAAACAGAAGCATAGCCTGTGTACCTTCTCATTTCCATTAGGCATCCAATGCATTGAAGGAGCTTTGCTTCACAATTATGGGGACTCTACCAAAGCCCCAGGTAAGGATGAAATAGTATTTTGTTTGTAGGGAAAAATTGCTCAGTGATATTTTGGAATTCCTACTAGAAGAAAATACCCTATTTAAGAAATAAGCCAAGAGGAGCTTGAAGACAATAAGTTGGGTTTGGATGAGAAATAAATACTTCAATTTCTCTGATGTCTGAGGGTTTAAGGTCAATGAAGTTCACAGTCATGGATTGAAAAGTTATGTGTCCCCCTCAAGTATATGTTCTACCTCAGATGAGAGAAATGTGGGGTCATTTGGCTTCTTTTCTCTCCCTGACTCACATTGCAATTGGAGGACAGATGAATCTTTGTTAGGGAGAAGGATGTTAAGAATGAAAAAAAAAATCAAATTATATTGTCAATGTCAGTTTGAAAATTATATTCTTACTGTCTTGGTTTCTTATTAAAATTACTTGATTCTTTTAGAACTTTTAGTCTTGAAATAAGAATAGGTGGGAAATTGAAAAATAGCATAATGTACCAAACCTTATTTTATATTTTATATCTTACCTATGAGCTTATTTTAAAACTATCTTATTAAGGATAACAGCCTAAGGTTTAGAATTTTATTTTTCATTAATAATTCTAATTTAACAATGATCATTGGTACATTCTGACTGCCATGCCTTTCACATACAATAAATCGAAAAAAACCTTGATATTTTGAAAACATAAATATTTACTGAAACTAAGTGTTTATGACTGTATTTGTTTCTAGTGTTTTTAATGGTCATTTTCTAAATTTTTTTCTTCTAATTAAAACAAAAGAAATGACAATGGTGTTTATCCATGAGTTTCCTTTAATATTAAAAGCAAATGAGGACAAAAAAAAAAACAAAACCCAAAAAACAAAAAACCAACAAATAGGAATGAGATGATTCATTCTTAAAAACAGATTTGTGGAGGAAAAGAGGAATATAGAAAAGTTTATGGAAGAAAGCAAAAATAACAATCTTATTACTTGGTGAGAACAACTACAAGTATTTTCATGGGACTCCTTCTTGTCTATTTCACTGAATATTTTATACATAATCATATCCTTCCCAATATTGAACTTTCAGGATGTTTCCAATTTTTTACTCTTATACATAATGTCGTAGTAAAGATCTTGTACACACTTTATTTACGAACAATCTTTAATTTTTCATGTTTTTAGAGCAATATATGTTTAATCAATTTAAGTCTTATATTTTTTATGTAACTTATGTTTTAAAACTTATGTGACAATTTTATACTACATATTATATGCATTATAATTTTATGTTATGCATAATATAATGATATTTGTATATCTTTTTTAAACAGAAAACAGATGAAAAAGTTAATAACAAAAGGGTAAGGTGATTTCCATAAGTATATACATTAAAAATAATAAAGGAAAGTACTAATCATCTATAGTAAAGCTCACTATTTATTTTTAACAGTTCTTATTTCATTATTCGAAGACAGGGAAATTGGGCAACTCAAATGTTGTGGTAAGTAGAATTACTTCTTATTAGTAATGATTGGTATTTTTTCCCCAAACCTATTTTTGCAGTTTATTTAATAGAACTAGAGCAAAATTTATTTTTTTTACTTTAAAAGTTTATACATACCTGAATAAATAGCATTCAATATTTATTATACATTTAATTTGTCTTATATCTCAATAATTACATATATATTAAAATCATTCAGCCAGTCAACAATTATTTACTGAGTATCTGCTATGTGCTAATCACAATTCTAGGTGCTAGAAATAAAGCAGTAAGTAAAATTAAAAATTAAAAAAAAATTCCTGCTGTCATGGAACTTAGATTCTAAAGATAAAACCAAGTAAAAATATTATTTTAGATGGTGATTAGTACAAGGGAGAAATAGTTCTATTCAAAACTATTAAAATATAATTGTCAAAAATATAATTAAATATAATTAGATATATCTACTTCTTTTCCTAAGATCTCCTTATTTGTCATTAGACATTTAGAGTGAGAATTTACTAAGATTTGCCAGATACCAATAACTTGGATTCAGTTCACTTTGAAGTTTCGTGCTTTAGTGGTAGTTTTTCTTCTTATGCATGGATTTAAAAAATGCTAATGAACCTCTTTTGGCGTTCCAGTTAGAATACTTAATAATAATTTGACTATAATATTCTTTCTAAGCTTGTGACTCACAGCTATGGACCAATTTAGGGAATGAGGAGCATAGTGTATTTTAAACATGTATATACCTGTAGAAAGGGAACTGTAATCATAAACTCAGTTTTAAATGTTTATTACATTGAGTATTCTTACAAATTAGGAGTTGAAAGTTAGGTTATACCAGCTTTAAAAACCAAAGACAAGTTGAATTGGTTGACAGGTAGCCTCCTATAGGGCTTAAAGCGGTTGATAAGTGATTTTAATACTTGTGAGATGGTTCCATTGAAGCCATGCTTTTAAAATGAAATTGAAGCAGGTAACCACATGTCACCAATGTGCTTTCATTTCCTTCTGCTTGGCATCTTTCCGTTTCGAGAAAAATGTATCTTAGTCATATTTTTTGCTATCAACAACACATTGTGTCATTTTTTGTGTGTCCCCCATCATCCTGTTCCATATGTTGAATTTTCAATAAACTATATCATTTATAAAAGAGATTACTAGATGTAATCATTTTCATTACATCTATTTATTTTCATAAACTATATCATTTATAAAGGAGATTACTAGATGTGTGAACAGTGTAATCTTCTACAGCAGTGTTTCCTTAACTTCTCTCATGATGAGAATCACCTGGTGGAGTTGTTAAACCACAGATTCCTGAATCCCAACTTAAAAGTGCTAAACTAGAATTTTTGGGAACATATAAGTAAAGCTGTATACTTACAATTTTAGTATCCTTACAAAATTGTATACTTACAAAATTACTAAGCTTAGAGCACTAGTTAAGTATACAATGTTACCTATATGATCCCCAAAATTCTAGTTTAGCACTTCTTAGTTGGGATTCAGGAACCTGTAGTTTAAACAACTCCACCAGGTGATTCTCGTCATGAGAGAAGTTTGGGAAACACTGTTCTAGAGAAACGTTTCCATAATCAAAAAAAAGTGATTTTCCTCGAGTTGTTTTCATCTGCCCCAGATCATTGAGTAAGTCTGGAAGCAGACGCTGCTCTTTGTAAAAAAAAAAAAAAAAAAAAAAAAAAAGTAGAATGTAGGCAGGGTTCTACTTCTTGGCAGATGCTGAAGCCTTCGGGAAAGTGCTTCCTCAGCGTCATGGCAAAGATCCTAGCACAGAGCCACCAAATTTTATTGCCTCCCTTGGCGCATCCTCCCCAGTTCTTTGAAATGCTCGCAGAAGGCCGCCTTAGAGAACATCTTTCTGGTTCTGTTTTGTCTGAAGCAAGTAGAGTGGGTAAAGAGAGACAAATAGGAAACGCGTCTGTATGCCCAGTGCTGAGAAGCCCTTGTGCTCATTGTGTGTGTGTTCGTGTCTCTCAGTCGTCTGTCGTGCATCCGTTGCTGCAGCTCGTTCCTCAACTGCATGAGAGAAGAATGAAGAGGTTCAAATCGGACGTATGTAACACAGCTGCATGCTCGCTTTGCCACTCTGTGCGGGGCAGCCCTTCTGACAATTCCCAGCTGGGGTAATTTATAAAGATTCAGGACAAACCACACAGAAACGCCAAGGTAGCTGAAGAGCACCTGTTTGCCTAAAATGTTCTCACACTCAGAAAGAACACAGGTATTTTCCTTCCTCCTAGTATGGCCCTTCTATCTCAAGCTAGGCGCAGTGAGGAAAGCTGGGATTAGATTCCCTTCCAAGGATCATGATCTTCCCAGCCAGGAAACCTATTCTGGGTTGGAAGAAAGGACACAGCCAGGCCCTGGCCAGGTCAGTGGCTGTGGTCCTGGTACACCAAGGTTGTGGGTTTGGTCCCAGGTTAGGGCACATAACACGAATCAACCAATGAATGCCTAAATAAGTGGAACAACAAATCTCTCTCTCTCTCTCTCTCTCTCTCTCTCTCTCTCTCTCTCATCTATTTTTAAAAAAGAAAGGACACATCCTCTGTGGCTAGTCAGAAGACGGGGAACAGAAAAAATAAAAAATACAATGTACTGCCCCTCTGTGTACAAGTTGGCTACTGACTGGGATGGCAATCTTTCTAAAGTGTTAGCAAAAGTAACACTTTAGGGTCAAGAAATAAATCTATCAGGAACTAATTGTAGGTGTGTTTTGTTTTTCCCACAATTAACAAAAATATGGCCCTATATCAATATCTATGTTTAAGATAAATATAGCGTTAACAGCTTTTTAAACTAGAAATCGAGGAGTTTATATTGTTATTTAAAAATAATTTTATCTCTTTCAATGATGAAAGTTTCTAGGTATTATTTTTAAGTAACGCCTTACATTGTTAAAATGAATTATAGTTTTTAGTCTTCTCCTATTTTATTCTTTTGGAAACTCTGTTGGCACTTATGTAAGTACTGTTATCCTGTTTACTAAAGGGAAAACAATTTGGAACAGTTAAAGAAAGGTGGTTCCCAAGATCATTCTAATAAGTGGTCAATCTAGAAATTCCAATAGATTCTTCTGACTTCTAGTCTTTGCAAATATTTTTTTCACTCTGCCATTCCATAGTCTAGTCTTGGATACTTCTATTATTTTGTTTTATATGTTCCCTTAATTTAAATGCCATCTTAATTTTATTCTCTTAAATGTACCACTGAAAGTCCTCAAATACTTTTTAAACATCTATACAGTTTAGGCAAATACATTTCTCAAAATTTAGTTTTATGGTCACTTTTTTCTCCCAAATTCTTCACTTTCTTAAACTAAGATTTCATCAAGGAAGATAGTAGCTGCCACCTGCTTAAATAAAAATGTAAGAGGAACTGTAATAGCCTTTATTATAGAATTTCCAGTATGAAAAGGATCAAATCAATTGTTATCAAGCTTTCTAGAAGAGGCGCTTTTAAAAATTAACTTCTACTCTTTGAAGTTTGCTTCACTTGTGAATAGTCTAAGATTTCAATGTAAAGATTCAGTTTCTTAAAATATATTAAGTTATGAGTTTACAATATTACTTCAGACTATATTTGCAGACAACAATCTAAAAATATAAACTGTGACTTGGTAGTATATTCTGTTGGGCAAATATAACTCCAATATTGAAAGATGAGTTTCCTAGGAACCTATGAAAGAAAAGAATGTAAGGCATACATACAAAAAAATTACAATAGTGTTAGCTTTGCTAGGTCTAAGTTGCCTAATTTTAAAACATATTTTTTAAGTGAAGTATTTTTGAGTTTTCAGATCCTAGTACATTCCAACACTTTTCTTAAAATTTGATTGCCAGACATCCTCACTTCCATCCCCTGCCTCCCAAATTATTTTATAAACTGCTCTTTCTTCAATGATAAGACTAAAACAACCTGCATGTTTGGATTTGAGATTTTAAAATTTAGCACATTTTAAGTTACATTTTGCCCTTTTTAAAAATATAACAATATAAATGTAAAGTTTCAATGTGTACTTTTTTAATAGAAAAAAATTCAATCTTTTAGGTATTTTGAGTGGATTTAGTCAAGATGAGAATTAGATATAAAATATTGAAAATGTAAGATATGTTTGTCATAATGCAGGGATTTAAGAATTTTAATAGTTGTCAGAGCTATTTCATAGAATTTAAAAATATGAATTTACTTATATTATAGAATAACTTTAAAAAGGTCTTGTTGACACATTTCCTACTGGATGCCATACTGATACTTTTATAGTAAGGAGTTGAAAATAGGAAGCTATGAAAACCAATTTTATGGAAATCATAAAATGTTAAATATTTTTCCATTAAATTTAAAAGGAAATGTTTTAAGAAAAGAAACACTTCTCAATATACCCATTATGAATAATTGATTTATTCCTATTTGATTTTTTATAACTATTTTTATAGATAGAATTATTTTGGGAAAATCTCTTCTTAAGGCTCAATGAATAAATATAGTTTACTCTCACATTTCTATATAAATTCCTATAGCAATATTGTATATTTTAGCTCTGACAATTCTATTTTATATTTTTCCTTGTTGTGTTAGCACATACAATATGTATTTTAAAGAAATTACTTTGTTCTAACAAAATGCTGAAAGGAGATTTTAAATACAGTTCATTATAAAGTGTCTGTCATTTCTCTTTCTACTTATTGGCGAATATACATTGTGATAAAATTTTTGAAAATAGAATCTTTATATTAGTAAAGGAGATTATTTTAAAATACAACATTCTGTTGTACTGCTAGTTGAAAATTCTTCAAGTATAAATGCAAAGATTAACTATTGTTATGAATTATATACTCAAGTCCTTGATTCCCTCTTTGTTTATGAGGATAGTTGTAAATAACTTTGAGCTTCACTGTTCTTTCAAGAGGAATTTGTACTTATTTCTCCTGTAATTTGATTTGGAATGTCCTCATTTTGTCTTCCAGGGAGAATTTCAAGGTCCTATTGCAAGTCATAGCCGCAGATACTTTTTATTCAGGGTATGCACGTACTGTATTTTTTTTTTTTTAAATCAGTATCAAAATTGAAAAATACTCTCACTGGGCATTTATTTGCATTAACTTATAAGTTTTAATTGAGTTTTGAAGTTTATTTATAGATATTTGACATCAAGTGTCGTAGTCTGAGATTTACTTCTTTTATCAACTTATTTATTGCTTTAATACTATGGCATATGTGGCCTCAAATCCACTACTCATGCTTGTAAATACCTCAGGAGACATTCACCTATTTCTCAGTTTAGTTCCATAAAATTTCACAAGCAGGAAATGAGTGTCTTAAAGATGTATTACTCCTTAAGCTCTAAGGACTCATTTACAAAATGTTTTATTCAGTAGATTGGGAGATTTATGACTATGTCCATTCACTTTTAAAAGTAAAAGAATCAACTACAATAGAGGGTTATAAATAGACAAATCTTTGTCATTGTAGTTAGTATTTTGTATGTCCAAATTGTCTATTAAGTATGAGTTTCTTCCTAAGCAGCTATACTTTCTAAAATGTTTGTATCCCTAATACATTACCAGAAATTTTTCACTCATTCATTCAGCAGCTAATTATTGAATATCTATTGGGTGCTGGACAATCTATCAAAGGCTGAGAATATAAAGCCAGATAGGATTATATTCTTATCTCCATGAGTTTACAGCCTAATACAGGAAATTGATAAATGAGTACATACAAAATACTATATTAAATGCACCTTCAATCCAGAGGCTATGGTTCTAAAAGAAAGACATGCAACCCAGTCTGTGGAGTGAAGGAGATCCAGAGAGGCTGTAAGGGCTGAGTGAGAAGAATTAATGGAAAATAGCCAATAAAATATTTAGCTAAGGAATTTCAACTTTAATGTAGAAATAAGGGGAACCATATGGTAAAATTTGCATTTTGAGAACTAATTCTAACAACCAATTGGAGAATTAATTGAAGGAAGAAACAAGACTACATAGAGGAAAAAACTTAAATCATACATCAAGATAATTATTAGGTTGCTTTCTATAAAATTAGCTTTCTTCCTTAATTGCACTGATTTTTTGCTAATTTGTTATTTTCTAGCCACGCAATGGAAGAAGATCAGAAGGTTACATTTAAAATGGTATGTGTTTCACAATTCAACCCAGTTGGAAAATTTCTGTTGTTTTCAGATATCCACAAATTAAACTATTTGCAATATATTTCCATTATTTGATTGCATGTATACATTAATATTCCTACATACGGACTATACTTACAGGATCTGTGAGGGCTATATGATGGAAAATGTCAGTATTTCAGGGCCAAATTTGCTTTATCCATGTCGTGTCTTCCTCAGGCTATGCCACAATATTCATTATCATTGGTTTTTGTAGACAGTAACCTCACCACCATTTGGTGTGCAAGTACTTGTAAGGGATTGTGTTCTTATTTTGGCAATTAGTATTCAATGTAATGGGTCAGAACTTACAGAATAAATGTACTTCCATCGTCCAAATGATTCATATTCAAAGATTCTTTTTTAAATCATTTTTATTTTTCAAGTATAGTTTTTCTACAGAATAACAAAATGTGGAAGACATAAAAACATGACTTTTACTTTGGGACTCCCAGTTCCCATTCCAATCTGGAGATACAGTAGACACTTAGAGGCTATTGAATTGCTCTACTTGTTTAATAAATACAATACAGTGATCCTAATATCTTATTATGCTATGACTTTTGAAATCAACCCAAAGGCAGATTGATAAATTTATACCACAGAAATAAAAGTATGTTCTACTACTACTTTATGAAATCCTAAATGCAGATTATATGCTGAACATATTATACAATATTTAGATAATAAAGATAATGAAAATTAAAACTTATGGGACTCTGTCAAAGCCATATTTGGTGGAAAATTGAAGACTTCAAACACTCCAAGCAAGAAAGAATGAGTGAATTAAGGACTTAACTCAATAAGTTAAAAAAGAACAAGTTGGGAAAGGAAAGCAAACTAAATAAAACTATAAATGAAAGGTCAAATTAATAAAGTGTAAAGTGGAAGGATAGGTAAATAAAGCAAATTATCTGATTATCTTCAAAAATTAAATAAACTATTTAATTAGCCTAGCCTAATTAAGAAAAAGAGAGAAACCATAAATATACAAAACTACAAGTGAAAAGAGAAACATTAAAATAAATATGGAAGAAATGGATATTATAAAAGAGTACTTAACAAGTCTCTGTGCCTATCTATTTAGAAACCTACATAAAATAAAGGGTTGTCAGTAAGTTAGGTGTTACCAAAATTCACTTTAGAAGGAAGAAAAAAATCTAAACAGACTAATGGCCATGGAAAAAAATTGAAAATATTATCCAGAAACCATCCCCTCAAAAAGTCCTAGGCTAACAGATTTTGAATTTTTCCACCTCAGAGAAGAAAGAAAAATCTAAAATATTTTTATAAAGTCAATCATATTTTTTTAAATGAAGCTTATACCCAAATCTTACAAAAGTAGTCTAGAAAAGGAAAATGTGGGCGATGAAGGCCTGGGATGGGAGCAGGTTAATGGAGAAATAAGAGGCCATTTATAATACTTTCAACAATAAAGATTTATTTTTAAAAAATGAAACTGAAGGTCAAAGTTGTTTATCAATTTTAATGCAAAATTGAAAAGAAATATTAGTGAACCGTATTCAGTAGTATATTTAAAGAATTTCATGACCAGAAGTTTGTTCCAGCAACTCAGTATGGTTCGACACTAGGGAGTCTATTAAAATATTTTCACCATTAGAAGAAAATTATATGATTATCTCAATAGATGCTTTTAGTAAAATTCCACATCAATTTCTGATGTATTAACAGAATAAAGAGATGAGTTTTCATATTATATATATAATGGTTTCAAACAAAGTTAGTACAGGCTTGATAGGAAAACACTTCAGAACATTTTCATTAATGTCAGGAATCAAGCAAGGATGCTCTGTTACCTTTTATTTAATGTGGTTCTTAATGCATTAGTCAATTCAGTTGGACAAGAAAAAAATAAAACATAAATATGAGAAAAGTAAAGAAAAAATTTAACATGATCACGGGGCTTAGTTAGGAATGTAGATTTTCAAACTATTTCTGGCATTAACTCCTATTTCAACAAAGGCCTGCTCATATCAGAAATATGAGCCAACATATTCTTATTTTTTCTTTTTTCAAGGAAATAAGAACAAAGAGTTATGGGAAAAGAAACTATCCTATCTAATAAAAGGGTAATATGTAAATTAACCATCACTCTGTCACAAAGATGGCGGTGCCCATAGCCACAAGATGATGGCGCTCAGTCCTCTAAGCTCTGGTGTAATCCCCCAGTTCCAGGGCAGGGGATGGGGGGAGGAGAGATGTAGCGACCAGCCTGGCGGAATGCTTGTTTTGTTGCTCTGGCGACGAGGCAGGCATTCCACCCTGGCCATGGAGGGCCTCTAGGCAGCGGGCATGGAGCTGTGGAGGGATTCTGGCCAGGCCCAGGCACAGATGGGCCTCTGGGCCTCAGAGAGCCTCTGGGCAGTGGGCACAGAGTGGCCAGGCCCCACAGAGAGCTACTGGCACATGGATTCGTGCGCAGGGCTACTAGTCTTTCATAATATTTTACAATGTAGAGGCATTTACATAATGTGAACAAAAAAATAGTCTAATACTTAATGGAAAAAAAATCCGTGATTGTAACATCAAACTAAGTATTAGCGTGCACACAAATGTGAAATAAGATTTATTCGATTATTTGATCAATTTAGTAAAATACTCTCTCTGAAGCTGAGAAAAATAGCTTTATCTGGATTGTTCCAAAATTTGGCTTTACACAGACTAATTCACCCAGGATTTCATTTTATTTTGTCAGTAAAAAACAGTTCAATAATTACTTCTTCTTTGTTTTTCTTATGTGATTACCTGAGGTTTTAAACTTTGTCCTGATGACTTATATTTACTTATAAAGCAGTTACACATATAATGGGAAGATTTAACTGCAAATACATAAAGAAATAAATACATGAGGAATAACTTCAACTTTTGAAATATTTTATTCAAAATATCAAACTTTGTTGATATCAGTGAGCTTTAGGAAAACACTTTTATATACTGGAAATTTTGGGGGAAATATAAACATACAGAGTAAATGTTCCAGCAAAGAAAGATTAGAAAGATTAAATGATAGCTAAAAATATACAAACTGAAGAAATGCTAAGAAATACCTCAAGTGTCAGTTTTATCATACAATGCAAAATATTTATAGGAACATCTATATACAAACATTATATACATATTTATATGCTCATATATACTTGAATCTAAATTCAACTTTTCTCTTTTTACAGAATACCAACTATTTTCCAGAGAAGCAATGCCGTGGAAGACAAAATATACTGAGATTTTGTGTGTTTTCTTTTCTCAAAAGCAATCCTTGCTAAGTTTAACATGTTTGAGAATATCTGTGTTGTAAACATTCTCAGTAAAATTCTCGGTGGAGTTATAAATGTCTAATTTGTTGAAAATTAAAAGAGCATCTTAAAATATTTTTTCTTAAGTGTTGTAATGATAAATAGTGTACAAGAAAGCTGTAAAAATGATGTTCCTTTGATCCCTGCAGCTTTTGACAGTACTGATACACATGCCCTTTTGTTATTTTTATTAAAAGCACTCTCAAAGAATTGAGTTTTAATGAGCTATTTTAGTTTATCCTATTTGGATTTTGGCAGTAACAAATTCACCAGCTCTTATAAATACCAGAATGCCCAATAGCTAACAATCTTAGACTGTGGATACCAAATAAACCTGCTGGAGGAATACCAACTAAGCCTATTGGGGAATTTGGCCATAATCCGTCCAACAGTCCAATAAGCAAGTTCTGACTTATATTATGTAAAATTGACATCTGATTGCTACAAACATATCGAGGGACTAGCTTTTTCTACCAACTAGTAGTATTTACTTTATCTTAATATAAGTTATTTATCTTGCAACATCTAAAAGGCAACCAGTCTTGTCCATTATCAGAAAGAAAACAGTCTTCCTAGTAGAGGATCTTGAATATACTGTTAGAACTTTTTACATCAAATAGTGCTTGGTGGACACAGAATCAACCTCAGATAGATGTTGAGATTATCTCCCTTCAAGTTCCCTTGGGTTTTTCCTTTTTGAAACCTGACTCTTGCATAACCACCTACTCCAACAAGCGGGTTGCTGGCTGATGACGGAAGGGTGGCTCTGACTAGGCAATATTAGGAATTATATTCATCACAGCAGAGTATCTTGGTTAATGTTGACCACTGACTTTAGTTTAAATTATACCTTAAACTAGTAAAGTCCCTGAATTCCACTTCTTCTCAATCTGTGTGAAGAACACAGGTAAAGAACAGAGCAGAATAGGACCAAAGGTACATTCATCTTTGAAAATTGATTTGCTTTGACGAGCTGGGGACTTGAAAGGGAAGAGGGTCTCCTGTGTAAAGCAACAGATGCATAGGTAGTGCTATGCATAGTAACCAATAAGCATGGATTTTGGATTGTTAAAATAAAAAGATGGAGTGGGCCCTAGCTGGTTTGGCTCAGTGGATAGAGCACCAGCCTGGGGACTGAAGGGTCCTGGGTTCCATTCCAGTCAAGCCACATGCTTACATTGCCTATTTGATCCCCAGGAGTGAACATGTAGGAGGCAGCCGATCAATGATTCTCTCTCAACATGATGTTTCTATTTCTCCCTCTCCCTTCCTCTCTGAAATCAATAAAAAATATATTTTAGAAAAAAAGGAGGGGGGGGGGAGTCCCATTAGTTACCAGGGACTCTCAGAAATCCAGAGACTTAGGCCATTTACATGTTTTAGGGCTCACATGATATGAAAGTAAGAAGAAATGCCAAAACATAGTTACAAAATTCGTGGGATGTTTTAAAAATATTTTATATTTAACACATTTATATCTTATATACAAACACCACAAAACACATAGGCTACAGGGAGTATAGCGCTTTTATTAAGTAACAACTGAGCACTGCGGATGTTAAACTACCCTAGTTTAACACTGTCCTTAAAAACATCTTTTTTTTTCTTTTCTCCAAATCTTATCAGACTTTCTCTGTGACCATCCTATATAATAAAGATGTAACATGCAAATGGTTGTTACGCTGTGATAACCTCAAATGTTTATCCCATGATCCTGGCAGCTCCTAGTAAACATTTTCTTTTTTAAAAAGTATATTTTATTGATTTTTTACAGAGAGGAAGAGAGAGGGATAGAGAGTTAGAAATATTGATGAAAGAGAAACATCAATCAGCTGCCTCTTGCACACCTCCCAGTGGGGGATGTGCTCGCAACCAAGGTACATGACCGGAATCAAACCTGGGACGCTTCAGTCAGCAGGCCAATGCTCTATCTACTGAGCCAAACTGGTTTCAGCCCTAGTAAACATTTTCTTAACCTAAACACCAAGGAACCCAACTATCTAGGTTTCCTACCTAAAGCCAAACCTTCTGTCTCCCAATCCTGTGCGTTTTTAAGATGGGGGTGAAGAGCCATTTGGGAATCTGATGAAAGCTCTGGTCCTTAACTCTGCAAGCACCCTCTCCCCCCATATTGTACACATACCACAGGAAGTGTGTAAAATTGGGGCTTGGGGGCTAGGTAGCCCCTCAAACCCATCCAACTACAGAGGATGGGCTCTTCGTTAAGGTCTCCTTTGAATGGTCCCTTCCCCAAGATGTTATTACTGCTCCATGAAGACATGGCTCAGGGCCAGGCCCGGGGGAGCAGGCGGGTAAGGTGCGGCCAGGCCTGGAGCAGCGGCTGCCAGGCTGGGAGCGGCCAGGCCCGGGGGAGCAGCCGGGTCGGGTGCGGCCAGGCCTGGAGCAGCAGCTGCCAGGCTGGGAGCAGCCAGGCCCGGAGCAGCAGCAGCCAAGTCCAGAGCAACTAGGTCGGGAGCGGCAGTGACCAGACCCAGAGCAGCTGGTTGTGGAACGAACCAGAGCAACAGAGGCCAGGCCCTGAGCAGCCAGGCCCGGAACAGCTCGCTCCTCGCCTGCCCCTGCCCCACGGCTGCCTCTCAGACATGGCTGGAAACTTTCGAGGGAACTTGAGGGTCTGCTGAATCAAGTGATGAAGGCTTAGATCTGGATGTGTTGAGTTAGTATAGGGCTGGGGTGTTGATCTGTGAGTGCCTTGGGTGGGGCCTGGATGAGGCTGGTTGACCTATTGGGAAATGTCTTTTGTGTGAAGTGTATCATTGGACATGTGGAGGTATTATTGATATGAGAAAATGCTAAGTAACTGATTTACTATCTGAAAAGGGATTTACTATCGGGGAAAGGGAGGGAAGAAGAGACTGAACATAAACTGTGCACCTATGGATGAGGACAAGGGGGGTTGGGGAGGGGGCGGAGGGTGGGGTGGGAACCTGGTGGAGGGGGGAAGAAATGAGGAACCTTTGTAATAATATGAACAATAAAGATTGATTTTTTTAAAAAATTAAAAAACTTAAAAAAAAAAAAAAAAGACATGGTCAGGGATTGAAGGGTGTCGGAGGGCTCAGAAACAATGCCTAGCCGAAACCGTTTGGCTCAGCGGTTAGAGCGTCGGCCTGCGGACTGAAGGGTCCCAGGTTTGATTCCTGTCAAGGACATGTACCTTGGTTGCGGGCACATCCCCAGTAGGAGGTGTGCAAAAGGCATCTGATCGATGATTCTCTCTCATCGATGTTTCTAACTCTCTATCCCTCTCTCTTCCTCTCCCTCTCTCTTCCTCTCTGTAAAAAATCAATAAAATATATATATTTAAAAAGAAAAAAGAAAAAAAGAAGGAAAGAAACAATGCCTAGATCTGGGGACGGTGTGTAGATGGTGGGAGGGATGCAGCCCTCAGGACCACGTGGTGAACAGGGAAGGCACAGCCTGGGGTAGATACCCCCAGCACCTGGTGCATCAGCGCCCACACCACCCCAGGCCACGCCTCCGCGTTGCCTGGCAACGCAGCCGCGCCGGCGGCACGTGACCAACGAGTCCAAGTGCCCGAGAGCGCCCAAGGCCGTCCCGCTAGGGGCGGCGGTGGGAACCGCTGTCCCGGCTGCGCTGTGGACTCTTCGCCCCCAAACTCCCGAGGAGGCGTCTGAGCCCGGAGACGCCGTCACCTGAAGGTCCAGTGACGCTGTCACCTGAAGGTCGAGGCTGAACGCCATGCAGGTCGGGGATCCAGCCGCCGCATCTCCGGGCCCCGGCCGCGCTCCCCGCTGGGCCTGAGGCTGAGACCCCAGGGGAGGGCGGCGCCGGGGCGGGGCCTAACGTTTTTTTTGGGGGGGAGAGCTGAATTCTGCGTGAGTCTCAAGATTTGAGAGACAATCACATTAACCCTAGGAGACCACCATTCCTCCTCCCCTACCCCCCAAGATTTGTCGCTGGGGTTGGTTGGTTGAGATTGTGTATCACATCAGAGTCTTGGAAATCTCACTGCCGCACGGTTTCTGACTTAAGCAAGAGACCAGCAACTTTAGCCCAAGTGTAATTCAGTTTAAATATTCTGCCCCACTGCCTTAACAAGCAAGCAGAACGGAAATCTGGTTGCATCTGTCTTGATAAAAGACCAGGTTCCCCTGAAGTTTCTCCTGCCTGGTCTCCAAAGCTCTGTTAGGCTTCCATTCATCTTTCAGGCTGCTCCTCTCTGCCTAAATTCCCCTGATGGACCAGAAGCCTGTGCTCTTGGGTCTTTCTGAAAGTCAAATTCTCACTTTCTGACTTGGAGAAACAGCTTCTTCCCACCTGCCTCTCCAAATTAAAACTATTGCGATTTCTCCTGTTTTACATATTTAATTTTGGCATTCAGGTATACCATGTAATTTACTAGGATATTTTAAACACAAACTACAGATACATTTAATGGATAGCCCTTAGGTGTTAACTATAGGTTTCTAGCAAGTACATTTTATCCAATGTACGAAGACATTTCTAGACACTGTAGTAAGTAACCCAAAAGGAAATTAAGAAAGTAATTCCATGTATGAGCCCATCAAAAAAAAAAAAAGTACTTAGGAATAAATGTAATCAAGAAGACAAAAGAATTGTACGCTGACCACTACCAAACATTGCTAGAAAGGAAGAGGACACTGATAACTAGAAAAACATCACACCTTTGTAAATTGGAAAACATAATATTGTTAAGATGTCAGAACTTCCCAAAGCAATCTACAAATCCAGTGTAATCTCTATCAAAATCCCAATAATAGTTTTTGTAAAACTAGAAAAACCCATCCTGAAATTCAGATGAAATCTTAAGAGACCCAAAAGAGCCAAAACAGTCTTGAAAAAATTAACAAAGGCACACACTTTCTAATTTCAAATATACTACAAAGTTACAGTAATCAAAACTGTGTGGTTAAAAAAAATACAGTGTGGTAATAGCAGAAAGACCAATGGGTAAAACAATGCACAGAAAGAAACCCTCACAAATAGAGCCAAATGATTTTCAATAACGCTGCAAGGATCATTTAAGTGAAAGGATAGTCTCTTGGAGAAATGGTGTTGGGAAACCAATATTCATATGCAGAAGGATGAAGTTGGAGTCCTAACTCAACATTATAAGCAAATATTAACTGAAAAAGGGTCAAAGACCTAGAAGTGAGAACTAAAACTGTAAGACACTTAGAAGAAAATATAGGGAAAATTGCTATAATTAGATTGGCAATGGTTTCTTGAATATGACAGCAAAAGCACAGGCAATAAAATAAAAAAGTTAAATTAGATTCCATCAAAATTTAAACTTTTATGCACAAAAAATACTATTGATAGAATGAAAATGCAAACCACAGAGTGGGAGAAAATGTTTTCAAAATATATATTTGATAAAAAAATTAATATCCAGAATACATAAAGAACTAATATTCAACATCAAAAAGATAAACCAATTAAAAATAAGCATATAAAAATGTGCTTCACATCTATGTCATCAGGAAAATGCAAATTCAAACAAGAGACCACTACACCTATTACAATGACCAAAACCTGGAACATTGACATTACCATGTGCTAAAGAGAATATGGAAGCATCGGGAACTCATTCCCTTTCTTTGCTGGTAGGAATGCAAAATGGCTCAGCCTTTGGAAGACAGTTTGGGCGTTTTTTATAAGACTTAACACATTCTTACCATTTGATCTAACAATCACATTCCTTGGTGTTTACTCAAAGGAGTTGAAAACATACTGTCCACACAAAAACCTGCACACAGGTGTTCATAGCAGCTTTACATCATTGTGGTCAAAACTTGGAAGCAACTAATATGTCTGTCAGTAAGGGAATGGATAAACATACTGTGGTACGTCCAGATAATGGAATATTATTCAGCACTAAAAAGAAGTGATTAAGCCATGAAAAAGACATGGAGGAAACTTAAATACACATTACCAAGTGAAAGAAGCCATTCTGTAAATGGCAAAATTATGGAGGCAGTTAAAAAGTTCAATAGTTGCCAGTACTTGGGAGGTGGAGGGATGAATAGGTGATGCATGTTTTAGTGCTCTAAATCACACTACTATAGCATAGTGATTGGCATGTGCCATCATGCATTTTTATCCAGACACATAGAATGTACGTCAAGAGTGCAGCGTAGTGCACAGTATGGACTTTGAGTGATTAGGATATGTCAATGAAGTCTCATGAGGTGTAACGAATATGTCATTCTGGTAGAGGATGTTGCTAATGGGGGAGGCTATGCATGTGTGGGAACAGGATGCATATTAGAAATCTTGTACCTTCCCCTCAATTTTGCTATGAACCTAAAACTAAAATAATAATAATAATAATAAAGTCCTAATAAAAATTGTTGCTGTTTTATTTTGGCTTTAAATGAAGAATTTGCTTAAACTCTGGTGGTGGATATTGATAACGGGGGAGGCTATGCATTTGTGGGGTAGGAAGTATAGGGAAAATCTCTGTACCTTTCCCTCAATGTTGCTGTGAACCTAAAACTGCCCTAAAATATTAAGTCTTAATTTAAAATTTTAAATATAAAATGGACAAAGAACTTGAATAGACTCCTCTCCAAAGAAGATATACAATGGTTAATATATGCATAAAAAATGCTCCGTATCATTAATTATTATAGGAATGTAAATAAAAACCACAGCAGGAGACCACACTCATTCAAAAAACTATTATTGAAAACAGAAAATGACAAGTATTGATGAGACTATGGAGGAATTGGAACCCTTGTGCATTGCTGGAATGATTGTAAAACTGCTATGGGAAACAGTCATTCCTTTAAAAATCATACATAGTATTATTATATGAACCAGCAATCCCACTCCTAGGTATATTCTCAAAAGAACTGAAAGCAGAAACTCAAAAAGATATTTTATGCATATGCTCATAGCAGCATTATTCATATTAGCCAGGTGGAAACAGCCCAAATGTCCATCATTGGATGACTAGAAAAACAAGCTGTGGTGTGAACGCACAATGGAATATTATTCAGCCCTAGAACAGAAGGAAATGTTGATAACATGCTTCAACATGGATGATCTTTGAAAAAATTATATGAAGTGAAATAAGCTAGTAACAAAAGGATGAATATAGACATGCGCTGCAAAATGACCTTTTGGGTCAACAATGGACTGCATATATGATGGTGATCACAGAAGATTATAATGGAGCTGAATTCCCTATAAGAAATGGAAAGATATGGTTCAAGAGAATTTTTTTTTTAATGAGAACAATATCTGCGAGCTTGATAATAGATTTCCTCTCATTGCAGCTGTTTAGAGTGTGCAGTTTACATCCCAATCAAACACTGGCCTGTTTCAGCATGGAGGAGCCCATCTCCCTAGACTCCATGTTCAGAGGGTGCTACAGTCCTCTCAGATCTAGTTGATGGTCTTCAGAGCACACTGCTGTAATTCTTTGTTGAGGAACTAAAATCCTATACAAGGACACAGGTCCACAAGAACCATTATAAGTAGTAGGTGCCACTGTCTCTTTAGTACAAGCTTTCTGTGGTAACGTGGAGCCAGCCTGTTCCTATACTTTGGAAATACTCTCAGATTGTACTGATGCAAAGCATGAGTTTCATTTCTCCCATCAATTCAATGCTAGAAAGAGCCCTTTTTACTAGGTAGGATCAGTGGAGCCAAAAACAAATTTTGAAGTCAAACTATGGAGTCCTCAGTTCTACACCCTTTCCATGTTAAATGCTCTCTTTAAAAAAAAAAATGAATACCACAAACTTCATTAATCTGACTTCTGCTCCAACATGCCTAGCCAAAACCACATTGCCATGGCAATCCCTTATGCTCTGATTTCTTATTGCTCCTATTCCTCAGAGCACCATATGCTCCTTCCTGGCAGGCACTATTAAGGTAATGTAAACCTTAGCCAGCCAGTTTCTCTTAAATATTTCCAATCAGTCCAGCCCACACCCCTGTTCATGGAGCAGCTCTGGCAGCTTCAGTGTCCTCTTTCTGACCCTGTTGGAAGGAAGGAGGGGTGGGCTTGTGGGACAATGTTTATAAAATCTGCAGTAGTGTTTAGCAATGGCAAATTGCTTCATCAAAGCCAGCAAGTGATAGAGAGTGCTGGCAAGATAGAAGTTACCAATCTCTGGAATTCAGTCACAGAAATGACATTCCTTCACTTTTGCCATATTCCATTGGTTAACAGCGTGGCACTGTTCCCACCCATCATCAAGGAGAGGAGATTATTCAGGAATGTGAATAGCAGAAGGTGGAACTCAGTCAGCTGATCTACTTTGTGTGCCACAGTATTAACTCCCTTCTTTTGGAAATATCAGGAAAAAATGGATGGCAAACTAGAGAAACAATAGTTCATATATGATTGACAACTTCTGGAAAAGCAGGAAAATCAAATTTTAAATCATGAAGAAAAAAAGGCTAACTTTCATAGGAAGAAATTGTGATTAGACAGAAATGGAACTATAAAAAGATTCCTGGCCTCTTCTAAGACTTAACCGGGAATATGGGTCCTACGAAACTGCATAGCTGAAAAGAGAAGCCAGTTCACCTGGAGGTCTTGAATGTGAATGTAGAAATAGAAACAAAACAGTATTTGTTCATGGTGTGAATTGTTCACGGTGCTATATTCACCAGAGAATATTCCTTCACTTTTTGAGTTTACTTCATTAATATTTCAGGTGTGTTCTAAATTGTTGTTTGTTTGTTTTTATTAAATGCCTCAGTGTAATTTTGAGGGTAGAGAATGTATTCTGTTTATCAACGTATGTAGTTCCATTAGTTCTGGGAAATGGAAAAAAGTAGGCTGCTTTGTTTTATTCTTTGAAACTAGTTATATGTTTACCTGTAGAGTTCATTGCACAGTTGGAAATGCTACATGTCAATTTTACACACAATAAAATACACAACTATGTTAATAGGTTTTCTATTTTTACATAGGATCCAAATGAAGATACAGAATGGAATGAAATTTTAAGAGATTTTGGCATTCTTCCTCCAAAAGAAGAGCCAAAAGATGAAATTGAAGAAATGGTTTTACGTTTACAGAAAGAAGCAATGGGTATAGTTGTGCATTTGGTGGGCTGGATGGAGGGGGTAATACAGTTATGTTAGAGATAGTGTATTTCATGAACTTCAAGGGGGAGAAGACATTAGAAATCATTTAATATGTCCCATTATACTTTTTTTTATAATATATTTTTTTGATTTTTTATAGAGAGGAAGGGAGAGAGATAGAGAGTTAGAAACATTGATGAGAGAGTCATCGATCAGCTGCCTCTTACATGCCCCCTACTGGGGATATGCCCGCAACCAAGGTACATGCCCTTGACCGGAATCGAACCCAGGACCCTTCAGTCCCCAAGCCGACGCTCTATCCATTGAGCCAAACCGGTTTCGGCCCATTATACTTTTGCTGATATCTAAAATTCCTAATTCACGTGTTAAAAATTCACATGCTAGTTAATAACAGAGCTGAAATCTCCTAGTATCTAATCTAGTGAGCTTTTTCCCCCCCACACCATATTTTTTTATCTTGTGATTACCTTATATTTTGGTCATTCTATATAGTATATATTACTTGTCAAGATTTCCTGGAACATGAGAAAATCTAAATTTCTGAGGTCTAATTTATTTTTACATCTACTTTTAAATGTAGCCTGGTAGTTCTGTGACTCTGAGGGAGTAAAATAATTTTTAAACAAAACTAAAGCAATCAGGGGAGGGAGGGGATGTGTGGGAGGAAGGGAGGGGGGGCAAAAAAATATATATATTAAAAAAAAAAAGACTGAAGAAAGAGCCTCTTTTCTACTATTTCAAATACTTAATAGCTAATTTCATAACATCACATGTACCATTTTAAGAAAGTGATGATTTAGTGGGAAATTAGTGCTTTGCATTTGTATACTGTAAATATAAATGACGATTTGTTTGAAATGTGTAACTTTGATATGCAAAAGATAATAACTCACGTTAATATTAAATATTCCTTCAAAATAAAAAAAAATAAAAACTCAAAAAAAACAAAACTAAAGCAATCAAGCACAAAATAGCTTTATATATTGCAAACACTGCAACATTAAAGACAGTCTTGACCTTGATTTATCTAAGATATCTTTTTTCTAGATATGTGACTATAAAATAAAATTAATATTTAAACAACTCAACTGCCTTCAATTTATATTGTTTTAGTTAAACCATATGAAAAGATGACTCTTGCACAGTTGAAAGAGGCTGAAGATGAATTTGATGATGAAGATATGAGAGCTATTGAAACATATAGGTACAGTGATGATTCATTGGGGTAATTTATGAGTTTTGGAATGAAGAATTGTAAAAATGAAACTATTTTGTCTGCAAAATATATTTAAAAATACAAAACTAATTTTTAAGATTTTAAAACTACCTAACTTATATAAATTAGAATTTTTCCTGAAATTCATTTGCCTTTGCTTAAATTAAAAACTATTCAATAATGTACCATAGGACTTCATCAAATGATATATAAGTAAAGTGGAAAATATCAATAAGCAGCCAATAAATAGAGGGCTGTGATATTCCTTCTATCATGATGTCTGCCAATGATTTCTATAATTTAATAATTAATTGTCAGTCATGAATTCTCTCAGAAATTAGAGTAGGTACATACATTACCCAACTTTTCTTGATACTAAAAACAGATAGATTATTAAAATGTTATGCCAGAGGAAGATATCACTTATGAATGCAGACACAAAAATTTAAACAAAATATTTGCAAATTAGTCTAGCAATTTTTAAAATAGAATAATGAACTTTGGACAAGTAGACCTAGGAATGCAAGGTTGTTTTAACATTAAAAAAACAAACAAATAACAAAAAACACACACAGTAAATTGTGTTAAAAGCAGCAATGTCAAGTCACAATGAACATACCTGGCACTCATAAAAATTGAACTAGTGTTCCTTGGAAAACTGCTTTATTCCACGATGTGAGTTGTGAAAGTACAATATAAGTCTTGAGTGTCTTACTGTTCCAGCAAATAAAGAAGTGCTAAAGAAAAAGTTTAAGGCATAGAAGCCAAACTAAAAGATCTCTCAATGACGATAGTTGCAACAAAAAGATATATTAGATTATAAAATAAATAATGAAATAAATACCCATCAGTTCATAATGATATAATTACTTAAATGCATGAACAAATTCAAAAGAAATAACACTTCTCCCTCACTAAAAAAATTCCAAATAATAAGTGTATATGGAATGAGGAAAATAGAAAAATCACCATCAGATCACCATAGCAATAATTCTCGGTGGGCAAAATCTGCTGATAGATGCTAAAATGAGTGGATGAAATTTTAAGTCGAAGCAAGGTATTTGCATAATCTCAAAGTATCTCTCCCTCCAAATATTATAACTATAAGGAAATAGTTTACAATGTAGAGTTTTGGCAGACTCCATCTTAGGGAAATGATCAAGGTTAAAATCACCAATAATACATGTTGACATTAAGTAACTTGATATGCTGAAGATGACACAGCACCTCTCCGGTGTCCTTTTTAATAATTAATCATTCAATCTAATAAGAATACATCAGAAACCAAAATTTGAGGAACTTCCAAAAAACTGACCAAGTTAATGTCAGGAAAGATGGTAGAATAGAAAACTCCAGAAATCCATCTCTTTACCTAGGCAATAGACAACAGTTGCATTGGCTGAAAATGTGTGAAGTGACAGCTTTGGAACTCTGGAATCTATTTGGACACTTGCAGCTTCCATAAAACTTGGCTGGTAAATTGCAATTGGTAGTGGCTGCTTTCAGTCCTTAGTTGGTAATAGCTATCCATCTCTCACCCTCTAGTTCCAGGGCAGGCTGCTGTTTGGACAGCAACCTTTATTTCTGGTAAAGCTTGCTGGAACAGGGTGGGCAATAAGGACCTTGCGTTCTGATTGTGGATTGCTGCTTCTGAATGCAGAGGTACAGGCACAGAGTATGGGTATCATTGTGTCAACCCCATTGGCTCAGGAGGATTCCAGAGCATTTAAGGGAGCCAAATCCATTTTTTTATGGACATTAAAAAACAACCTATATATATGGGGGAATTTAAATGCCTTGGAAAAGATGAAGGCTCACAGAAGACGTTGTGGTTTCATCTCAGGCTGATCCCTGGAGAGAGACACCTTACAATAATAATAAAACAAACCATGGGAAAGGAGGAAAATCTGATTTCCAGAGTTATAACATATGAATCAAATGTTCAGTTTCAACAAAAGAATCACAAAGAAATGGGAACGTGCGGCCCATTCAAGCTGTCTTCCGATAGCTGTACCATTTTGCATTCCTACCACCGGTGAATGAGAGTTCCCGCTGCTTCACATCCTCTCTGGCATTGGGCGGTGTCAGTGTTCCAGATTTTGGCCATTCTCTTAGGGGTGTAGTGGTTTCTTGATTTATTTGCCTTTTCCTAAGACATAGATGTGGAGCACTCTTTCATAGGCTTATTTGTCATCTCTTTATCTTCTTTGGTGAAGTGTCTATTAGGCCCCTGGCCCATTTTCATTTTCAGATTGTTTCCTTATTGTTGCATTTTTGAGTTTTCCTATAGTAAGGATAACAGTCCCTTTTCAGATGTGTCTTTTGTCATTTTCTCTCAGTAACTACTAAGGAAATAGGTTCCTAGAAAGAACAGTTGTTACAGCAGTTTTCTGATCCCCAAAGGAATTAGATTCTAGGGCACAATCGGAACAGTAGTTCCAAATTTCTCAAGTTTCTGGATTGCAGCAGAGAAACCTGTTCCATTGGCAGACCAATTTTGCAATGCTGCTCAGGGAATCATTTTGATGGCCCAGTTCAGAGCCTCCTCCTTTCCACTGAGTTTGTGGATCACTTAATTTCACAGAGTAAGCTTCTTGCTGCTTAAAATACCTAGGACTTTCTTCAACTGAGTCCCATCTGATGTGTTGTTGGGTGTAAAATGCAGGCTACTGAGCACTAAGTCACTTCCTGATGGCAAAGCTAACCCAGGTCTTTCTGTCTCTCGCTGCCTGATTCCATTGAAATAACAAAGAACAATGAGGAAGAGAGGTAGAACAGGGGAGGAGAAAGAGATATAGTTAAGTAGGAAACACAAACTTTTTGAAATTTTTGAAAGATACTAAGCCAGTGAGATCAAACTGAGGAATTTGATATTAAATACTCAGTGCCAACAAAACATCAGGTCCCAAAAGATCTTTGGCATAACTAAATTTAGAATATCTGGGTCAGTAGCGGGGAAGTGAAAGGACTTCAGTTTGAAAATTTGTGAGAGGGGCCTTCCCTCCAGGGGGGTCGGTATTCTTGGCATTCTCCTCTAGGCTTCATTTCGCTTGGATTACTTGTTATGTAGAGTGGTTTCACCTAACATGTTTCTAATTAGTAAAATAAGGACGGAGTGTTTTTAAAATATACCCAGGATTTTGTATCTATTCATGTAGAGTGAAGCCAACAGATGAGGAGATAATTACCATTGGAAAGAGTTTTTACTCAGAGTTCTCAAGAACAGGGGGCATGGCCCACAGTTCAAGGCCACACAGGGAAGCACTGGAGTTGGTTGAGAGGCAGGAGTGGAGGGATAACATGGGCACCAGCCTTCACTATGGTTTCCATGGCAAAGACAAGCGAAGCAGGGTAAGCACATTTAGGATTGGCTAGTTTGAATAACCTTGGCAGGCTGTGGGCTACGGTGCTGCCTCTAGTTATCTGGTATCTGGCCCAGGGATAATTAGGTCAGATGGGTAGTGGCTCAGTTTAATAAAAGAGGTGATTGAGGGATTGGGCTCTGGACTGGTTGGTTTGCATTTGAGGAATTTGCTCTCCAGCAGGAGGTTGCTATCTTTCAGAATTAGCTAGACCTGGGAGGGGCAGTCTGTCCAGGATAAGGCGAGAATACAGAAAACAAGAAAATACAGTTAATACACAGAAAGAAGAGAAGAAAGTATTCCCAAGATAACTTAGGGATATAGAATCGGTAACTTTTAAGACATTTGCATCAGAAAACATTTAGATCTGCTTCATGAATCCAAGCATTCAACAACTGTATCAGAGTATGTAAATCTTGAGAATTAATTAAGAAAGCTTTAAGGCTCCCTCTGGATGAATAACTAGGTAACATGGAATGCTCACTGTGTGCGAGGCACCATCTTAAAGCATTTACCTGTATAATTTCATTCAATTCCCAACAACCCCGTGCAAGTACCCGTAGGTATTAGTATTATTCTCATTACAGAAGCTTAGAGAAATCAAATAACTTGCCCAAATTCATGCTGCTAGTAACTAGGAATTGGTATTTAAACCCAGCCCAGTCTCACCGTAGAGTTCAAACTCATCATTCTTTATCACTTCTCTACCTGCAATAAACTTTATAACAAGTAATTGTATATATTCACAAAGGCTTTAGACTGAAGGTCAGTTTAGCATGATAGTTGAGAGTACATAAATGGGGATAATAATAATATTAACTTCATACAGTTTTTTGCAAGGTAAGTTAATTTAATGCACTTAAAATAGTGCCTGGCAACATAATAAGCACTCCATAAGTGTTAGCCATTGTTATGATTATTATATACAAGTATTTAACCTGTATAGGAGAATTTGTTGGTTCGGTATCTACATAAACTCTCTATAGCTATGTTTAAAACCTAATCTTAAATAAAAATAAATTTAGAAGTAAGTAGCTAACTTCTTAGTTGCAATACCAATGACAACACAGATTTCCATATAAACAGATACATTTGCATTATAACACCATTAATAGTTACTCTAATTTTTAAAGTGTTTGATATGTATTAGCATTACATTCATTACTCTAAATTGTTACTATAGATGGAAATGACCTTAAGAATATACAGTTTTATTATGTAATTTTATTTTTTTAATTAGAGAAAAGCGGTTACAGGAATGGAAAGCTCTTAAGAAAAAACAAAAATTTGGGGAGTTACTAGAAATTTCTGGAAATCAATATGTGAATGAAGTCACAAATGCAGACAAAGATGTATGGGTTATAATTCATCTGTACAGGTCAAGGTAATTACCTTTTTTATAAAATATTAATATACTAATGTTTTAAGATGTATCACTAGTTTTAAGGGTTTATAAAGCATATAACAAAGACTACTCACAAAAGGACATACATGTATTTACACATACATATATGTATAGAGTCACTGGCTGTAGGGATTAAATTAGGTGAACTTGTCATACTTTTTAGGAAAAAAAAGCATTCTTTAGCAGATAATTTAAATAAAACTTATAGAAAATTTCAAACATATAGAATTGATATAAGGATAAAATAAGCTCCCTAAATACTGGCCAGGTAGATTCAATAGTTAACATTTTGCCATATTTGTATCATTTGTGTATATTTACAAAAACATTTAAAAGTAAGTTATACACACCATGACACTTTTAAGTACTTTAGCATGCATTTTCAAAACATAAGGGCATTTTTCTCTATACCACAATTCCATTTTCTCACCTAACAAAATTAACAATAATTTCTAACAGTGTCTAATACCCAAATACTCAAATTCTCCCAACTGACTTAAAAATGACTTTTATAAATACATATATTTTTAATTGAATCCAGTCAAGGCTCAGGCAGTGCATTTGAATATACCATATCTCTTGTCTCTTTTAACAGAACAATTTCCTTGCATGTCCCTGTTCCCCCCAGTTAATTTTAGAGTACCTAGCTGTACTAAATACAATCCATATGCCTCCCCGTCTCATCAGCCTGGAATAATGATAATGGGGAAGAGTGAACTCTCCCCAAGTCTGTGCCAAAGAGGAGCTACAAACTCCCAGCTTCACAAATCTCTCATAGAAACAGCACCTCTAGTGTTAGGTCCCAAGCCCTCTGTGTGGGCTTTAATGGCTTTAATCCGATCCAGGAACGGAGGGAGGCCGTGGCAGTAGCCCTTGTTGTCCTTATTTCATTCTCTGAATAAAAAACATCTTCTTTCTTCAGGTCCTCAGAGCATTCTTACAGAGCAAATTAGAGCTCTGCTGTTTATCAGCTCACCAGCTCCTCAGACAATTTTTGATAGGAATCATGCCCCATAAAAGAAGACATAATTTTACCTTTACTAACATGGTTTGTAAATAATTTTTAATAGTTTTAAATAATAATTTCCCATTTATCCTATTCCACTTATCTGGCTAACCTAATTTGGAGATTTGCTGATGTGGGTTCTTCACAAATAAGTATATGAAATAACAACATTTACAGTACTAAGATTTGTGTGTCATACATGTTATATACTGAATTGGTACACCGAATGTTTCTCCTGAGGTCCATTATGATAAGCAGAATAGATATTGGTTCTGAATTACCATACACTGGTATAAAATTATTTTAATAGTTATTTCTAGATAAATCACTGGTTTTGACCAATAATTTTCAAAAACTCATAGAAGAGGTTGAAATAGTTTTAGTGTCAGGTTTTTCAAATTGCCATGTGCTTTGATGGACTTAAAGTGTAAGAATCCATTTTTATATTTTAAGTATTTGTGAGCTCAGAAGGTTCTTTTGGGCAATCTAATAAAGTTATATAAAATATTAGTTTTCTTGACATTAAGAAAATGCATTCATGTGTCAGTATAAAACAAGAAAATTCTATACAATAAAAGCCTAATATGCTAAGTGCTCAGTCATCCGATTGACTGTTCAACCAATCAAAGTGTAATATGCTAATGATATACTAAGGCCACTCAACCAGTCACAATGACATGCACTGACCATCAGGGGACAGATGCTCAATGCAGGAGCTGCCCCCTAGTGGTCAGTGCACTCCCACAGGGGAAGTATCTCTCAGCCAGAAGCCAGGCACGTGGCTGGTGAGCATATTGGCTATGGCGGGAGCCTCTCCTGCTTCCTTGGTAGTGCTAAGGTTGTCCAGCTGCTGGCTTAGGCCTGGCAGGGAGCGGGCCTAAGCCATCAGTCAGACATCCCCTGAGGGCTCATGGACTGTGTGAGAGTGCAGGCTGGGTTGAGGGACCACCCCCCAAGTGCACAAATTTTGTGCACCAGGCCCCTAGTTAATCTATAATTAAATTTGTAAAATGGAAAAGATTTATCTGTGTTACAAATATTCTTTATAAAGTCTAGTTATATTTACTCATATAATATAATATTCTTTTTAAAAATATATTTTTATTGATTTCAGAGAGGAAGAGAGAGGGAGAGATAGAAACATCAGTGATGACAGAGAATCATTCATCAGCTGTCTCCTGCAAGCTCCCACCTGGGGATTGAGCCCGCAACCGGGGGAATGTGCCCTTGACTGGAATCGAGCCTGGGACCCTTCAGTCCACAGGCCTATGCTTTGTCCACTGAACCAAACCAGCTAGGGCATAATATTCTTTATAATAGTTATAATTTAATATAATAAAATGAAGTATAACTATTAAGTTTGTATTTCTAGCTGCCTTTTGTAACTATAGGAGGGTAAGAGTTTGTTTTTTAACTAGGTTCCTAAGTTTTACAATTTTAATAATTTTTGTCACTAAATTTCTAGAACTGGGCCCATTCTTTATCCAAGTGAAGACTCAGCCTACATAGAGTACCTTAGAGGGATCTAACTAACCTTAGGCCTGTGATCCTAGTGGCTCAGCTTAAAATTAGCTTTGCTTCTGATTTTATTAAATCTTACATCTGGGTCCAAGTTCTGATTTTGGTGGGATGGGAGGAGGAAATTCTATATTATTCTTATACCTAACTGCATATTTTGAATCTCGCATACCATAACTATGCTCTTGTTTTCTGATGTTAGAGGTCTCCTTAATATTTTGTAATTTTTATGGAGTTTAATTCTGGTCCAAATCCACATTTGTTCCCTTGCCGCTTGCTGTCATAACTGTCTTCAAGAAGCTACTTTCTCCTTGCAGCATACTCTCTTAATGTCATACTCTTCACTGCCACCACCAGTGCCCACCTGCCTTCTACCATTCACACCACTCACTCCATAAGTGTTTATCATACCACTGACTCAGCTCTCATTCTGATAATAATGAGAAAAATAACCTAAATTTGATATCAGTGGGTTAAGTCCATCTATTTGAGGAAAACCGAAACTTATAAAGTCAATTTATGGCATGGTTTTGTTTGGAAAATTAATATTCGACTCAGGCAGTACATGCATTTCTAATGTCGCTTTTAGCAGGCCACTCACTAAAATAAAGCATTGTCTACATTTGTGGCAGGCTGTAATTATCAAAAGAATTCTGAAGTATAAATGGAACATGTAGTCATTTCACTTGTTAGCTTCTTGCTCCGTAAATTGATATATAACATCAATTATTTTAAGGGTATTTCTGAAGATTTTGTAGGTGTTGGAGATGCAAAGGTATATTTATAAAACATTTATCTCTGCCATTGAAGAAATTTCAGTATGCTAGAGAAGAGACAAATGTGGTAATAAAGTCTTTTGTGTGCTTTGATTAAATTCTAGGATAGAGTGATGGCACTGAAGAGGGAGCAATTAAGTTCTACCCTGGTACTGTCCTCCACAAATGAGAAAAGATCCCCCAAGTTTACAGAGTTGGAGGAAGTAGACAGGCTGAATTGGGTATTTTAGGTGGAGGGTACAGATTGAACAAAGGCACATAAAGAAGAGACATCATCTTGCTTTTGAGTGCGTTAAGTAATAGGATAGCGGGCAGAGAATAATGCTGGAGCGAGAGGCAGAATCCAGAACATGGAGAACCTTGAAAGCTATACTGAGGAGCCCAGGCTTTATCATAATGGCAGTGAGAGCTGTTGAAGGATTTTAAGCTTGAGGGAAGGGCAGTTGTTATAGGAGGAGATTTTCATACTGAGCTCCCTTTGTCAGCAGGGTCAAGGATGAATTTGGAGAACCATGCCTGGAAACAGACCATTTAGGGCAATCTGGCATAGCTCAGATAAGAAAAGGAGTGAGGCAGAGGAGACAGAGAGGAGAGGCTAGGTATGATACGAGGAAGTAGAACCAATCTAATCAACATTAGATGTTGTAGAAGAAAGAGAGATTTTTGGCCTGGGTGCAAGACTTCAGAAAATACAGAAGACAATGCATTATGGTGTAGTTTAGATGAGAAAAACTAAGGGGTTCTCCAATGAGCAGCTCAGGGACCAGTATAAAGATTAGTAAATGAATGCATGTTTGTATATGTCAGATGAAGATAAAGATTTGTGTGTGTGTGATTCTCTGCTTTGATCTATTTTTTAACCTTGTGACCTCCACTCATTTCTCCCAACTTCCATCCTCCATTCTGGCAACTACCAATCTGTTTTTTGTATCTGTGAGCTGCTTTTTGTTGTTTTGTTTTTAGATTCCACATTTAAGAGAGATCATAAGGTACTTGTCTGTCTTTCATATAACAAAAAGCCCTCCAGGTTTGTCCATGTTGTTGCAAATGGAAATATTTCATTCTTTTTTTATGGCTGTATATATCAAAGTTTCTTTATCTGTTCATGAACTGATGGACACTTAGGTTGTTTCTGTGTCTTGGCTATTGTAAATAATACTGCAATGAACATAGAGATACATTTTTTTTTAAAACTAGTGTTTTCATTTTCTCTAAAACACCCAGAAGTGGAATTGCTGAATCATATTTGGTTCTATACAAATTTTAGGATTATTTATTCTATTTCATTGATTTCCATTATCAGTTTGTGTTTTTGTTTTTGTTGCTTCTGGTTTCGGGTTAAAAAAATAATTGCCAGGACCTATGTCAGAGATCCTACTGCCTGTGCTTTCCTCTAAGAGCTCTATGGTTTCAGGTCCTATGTTCAAGTCTTTAATCCATGGTGAGTTAATTTTTGTCCAAGGTGTAAGATAGTGGTCAAATGTCATTCTTTTGCATATCGCTGTCCAGTTTTCCCAGCACTTTTTATTGAACAGATTGTTCTTTCCCCATTGTATATTCTTGGCTGGCTCTTTGTCATAAAATAATAGACCATATATGTATGGGTTTAATTCTGGGCTCTCTATTCTGTCCTATTGTGTCTGTTTTTTATGCCAATACTACATTATTTTAATTACTATAGCTCTGTGGTAGTTTTAAATCAGGGAGTATGATGCCTCTTGCTTTGTTCTTTCTCAAGATTGCTTTGGCTATTCAGGTATTTTTTGTAGTTCTATACAAACTTTAGGATTACTTGTTCTATTTTTTTGAAAAATGTCATTGGAATTTTGATAGGAATTGCATTGAATCTGTATATTGCTTTGGGTAGCATGAACATTTTAACAAAATTGATTTTTTCAATTCATTAGCATGGAATATCTTTCCATTTATTTGCTTTTTTCTTTAATTAACTTCATTAATGTAGTTTTTAATATACAGGTCTTTCTCCTCATTGGTTAAACTTATTTCTAGTTATTTTTTATGCAATTGTATAAGGGATTGTTTTCTTTATCTTTCTGATAGCTTGTTAGTGTATAGAAATGCAACATATTTTTATATATTGATTTTGTATCCTTCAACTTTACTGAATTTCTTTTTTAGTTCTAATAGTTTTTTCGAGTCTTTTGGGTTTTCTACATATAATATCATATCACCTACAAGTAGTGACACTTCTGTTTCTTTCTTTCCATTTTGATTGCCTTCTATTTCTTTTTCTTGCCTTGTTGCTCTAGTTAGGACTTCTGATACTTTGTTGATTAAAAGTGGTACGAGTGGGCATCCTTGTCTTATTCCTGACCTTACAGGAGAGGCCTTCAGCTTTTCACCGTTGAGTAGGATGTTAGCTGTGGGCTTGTCATGTATTGCCTTTATAATGTTGACATACATTTTTTTCTGTACCCACTTTGTTGAAATTTGTGAAACAAGTTTAGTAAACATATATTGAGAATAATATATAAAATTCCTCTCCCAGATGTCGATTAGAACTTAGTGCATTTTCATTGATTTCCATTATTAGGATTTGTTTAAAGAGAGCAAGAACTCAAGTGCATGCAAAGCAATTTGAGGAAATCTGTGTTTTTCTCTGATCATTCACATTTGTCTGGCCCACATCTAACCATCATTTTTTTCTTCGTGACTTTTATCAAGTTTCCTGAAGGATGCATTTGATTTTCACAAGAACTACAATGATTTTTCTTGTCCCACAAACAGGAAAAGCACACAAAAGTCTAGAAGAATCTTCATCTGCCTGGAGCATGCAGCATGCCCTGGCATGAGTCACTCAGTAAGTGAGTTTAGACTGCGGGTGTGTCAGGTTTTAGGAGTTGAAAATACTAAAGGGAAATAGGATGCTCTATGGTATCATGAAAGAGGCCAATTAAACGTTGAATATTTTTTTTAAAAAATATGTTTTTAAAAGACATACAAAGGAAGTCCAAGAGAAAAAAAACAAAAACAATTTTGTCTGTTCAAAGGAGCTTTTCCTGATCAACACAGTTCACACTAATCTTTTTCTCATATACTATTTCAAATATACTCCATATGAATGATGGGGAAACGAGTATAAAGACAAAAAGGAAGGCTACACTTCTAGCAATTTAGGTTTATTAAAAGGAAATAGAGACAAAAGATGAGATTTTTGTTTTAGTTGTTAAGAAAGGAGGGGAAATGAAGTTCATTAACTGTTTATATCAAATTGGATAAGATTGCCCAGAGAATGTGTCTGAACTGATAAGAGGGTTCAGAACACAATCCCATGGAACATATATGTTTGAGGCATAGATAGGAGAAGGTAGTCAAAGAAATAAAAAGGAAATCAATAGAAAGTATTTTCACAGGAGCCAAAATAAGAGGGCCTTTCAAGAATGGAGGTGAACAGAAAATACAGATTTTATTTTCTTTTTTATCTGGGCTGTGAACATAAGGAGAGAAAGTAGTTATTAGAAGGGGACAGAGAGTTATAAGGGAATTTTTAAAAATTTACTGACTTGAATGTGTTTATATAAAGTGGAGAAGAAAAGATTGAGAAAACAGGAAAGGAGGGAAGCAAAATAACAGAGAAAAGTTCCATAGGAAATGCAAGAAGTATGGAATGAATAGAGGACTCGCTTTGAAACATTTTAAATAAAGCTATGAGTGAATGATAGACTGGGAGAAAAGAGATAAATGGAAGAAAGGGAGATAAGTAATAAGAGGGAAAAAAATCACAGGATTTGGTTATACTTCCAATCAATTTTAAATTTCTAATGAGAAATAATTCTGGATTAAGGAGAACAGAATGTGGCATGGAGTGGGATGTCAGGGGAAAGTGTGGGTGATGTTTGTTAGAGTCAAGAAAAACAAGGACGTTGGAGATATAGAATTTTGGATTTGATAATTTCAAGTGAAAATAAACCTGTGATGGTGACAAGAGTTGGAATTCCTTTGTTTCAACTCTGAACTGCCATGGGTTCCATGGAAGAGTCAGTTTTTTTCTCTCTCTTATCTATATATATATAAAAGCCTAAGCAACCGAACGATAGGTTGACTGTAACTATGACGCGCACTGACCACCAGGGGGCAGACACTCAATGCAGGAACTTCCCCCTGGTGATCAGTGTGCTCCCACAGTGGAAGCACAGCTGACTAACGGGTGCCAGACACCAGGCTCACAGCTGGCACGTGCAGCTAGGCGTCGTGAGCCTTCCCTGCCTCCTCAGCAGCACTACTGGGCGGCAGGCACGGTGGGGCCAGTGATGTGGCACCTGGTCCAGGCTTGGGCTCAGGCTCGGGCTTGGCTCCTCCCCAGCCACCTGCCGCTTTGTGCAATATACTACATCCCTGCCCGGATCAGGCCCAAAACCGGCAGTCCAACATCCCCTGAGGGGTCCCAGATTGTGAGAGGGCACAGGCCAGGCTGAGGGACCCCACCGGTGCATAATCCGTGCACTGGACCTCTGGTGTCTTATAAAGTAGGAACTAACTTGATTAAACTGATGGAAGTCAGATGTGGTTAGCCTTAGTTAGGCATCAAATTCCCATGGTAGCTAGCTTTATTCCCAGGCTATAAAGGTATTTGTAATGAAAATCGGAGGATTGAAGGTAACAATAAAGGACAATATTGATAGGGGCTTATTAAAAGAATATCTAAATATATATTGTTGTTATGGAGATGTTTCACTTATTTTATTAGACTAAGATGAATAGTTTGTTTTTTTAAAGATATTATATGTACTGTTTCTCTTTTTAGCATACCAATGTGTTTGTTGGTTAATCAGCATCTCGGTCTTCTAGCAAGAAAGTTTCCAGAAACTAAATTTGTTAAAGCCATCGTGAATAGCTGTATTCAACACTATCATGATAATTGTTTACCAACAATTTTTGTTTATAAAAACGGTCAGATAGAAGGCAAATTCATTGGAATTATAGAATGTGGAGGAATAAATCTCAAGATGGAAGGTAATTATATTATTTTAAAAATTTGTTTGAAAAAAGATGAAACTTCACTAAATGAACAATATTATGAAAGTTTATTTCAGTAAAACATAAGATTGCTTTCCTTTTCTTCCAGTCTCTGCTTGTATTCCTCTAGACTAATTTTCTGCAATAATACTCTTAGCATAACACCCAATTCCTTAAGTCCTTATTGGTTCCTTGTCTCAAATAAGTTAAAAATTCGGAATCTTCTGCCTGCGAATTTCAGCCCACTTACCTAATGGTATTTCTCAATGCTTTCTAGTTTCTGCACAGCCAGGCTGGTCTTCAGCCACTACCCCAGACACACTCATTTGTTCCTTTATACTTTGTTTCATACTCCTTCCCTGAGCCCCAAATTACCTCCTCTTCTTTATTCTTGCTTCTAGAACCTCATAGGTCTCCTAGTTTTCCATTTATCCCATGATATGATTTTGGACCAATTCATAATCTGTCTTCTTTTTCTCTATTGAATTTCTATTGCATATATTCTCTATACAACTTACTTTTCACTTATCCATATACTTTCTGATTTTGTTGGTTAATTCCCTTTGAATTTTGTCTCCCTAATAAGTATAAGGGCCATATATCCTATTATTTTCTCTTTCACAGTACATAACACAGGACTTGATATTTCTAACTTCTTTACTAACTTTTGCTTCCTGACTTAGTTCTGAGGCCATACCCTTCATCAAGTCATCACTTGGAACTGCATTAATTTCTTATTATACAAATCTTTTTTCTCTTACCATTGTGTTAAAGCCATTGTGAATAGTTGTTTTTAACAGTTTATCCACTCTTCAGTTCCCTTAAAACTGTTTTTGGCCTTACTGAATTATCCTCTATCCTTCTACTAGTCTCTAGGATTCCTTTTGTTTTATCACCCTGTTTTTTTCCAGCTTCGACCTCATGTAGCATTTATCAGAATTTCCTTCCTTTTTAAGGCTGCATAATACTCCATTGTATTTTTATAGCATATTTTGCTTACCCATTTATCTGTTGATGGACACTTGGGTTGCTTTTATCTTTTGGTTATTGAGAATGATGCTGCTATGAACATTATGTACAAATAATCAGTTTCAGTTCTTTGGGGCATATACTTGGAAGTAGAATTGCTGAGTCATATAGATAGTAATTCTGTTATAATTTTTTGAGCAACAGCATACTGTTTTACATATTAGCTGCACCATTTTATACTCCCACCAATAGTGTACAAGAATTCCAATGTCCCACATTCTTACCAACACTTGCTATTTTCTAGTTTATTTGTTTATTTATTTATTTTTATTGTAGCCATCTTAATGTGTGTGAGGTATTTTCCCCACTGATTTTAAATGTTTCCTATATTTTTTTATGGTTCAAAAATACTTCAGGTTTTTTTCTGATATATCTACTATTTGTTTATGTCTAAATCAATATAGCATGGTCTTAGCTTTATAACTATAGCTTTATAACAATCTAGTTGTCTCTAGTAGGGTGTCTTTTTCAAAATTTCATATAAATGTTAGAATCAGGCAAGTTCTAGGAAAAAATCCTGTTGATTATTTATTATTTGTTGGAGACTTCATATCCTAATAACAGTGGATATTCCTATCCATAAATGATATATCTCTTGTCAGTTATTTTGGTCTTTTATAATTTTCCTCATAAATATAATATGTATATATTATATATTGTAATGTAATATATTTTGTAATTTTCCTCATATTCTGTTCATCTACTCAGTACTTAGAAATAAAATTGACAAAATGATGAATTTGAAGGAATGAGGGAGTTTGTGGTTATCAAGTCAATTCTTTTCAGTTTTTCTCTTGGATATATTTTGGTATTTTATATTTTGTTGAAATTTTCTCATAAAAGTTTTCAAAAGTATTGGCAATAGTTTTTTCATAAGTAGTCTCAGAACTTTAAAATCTTTACTTTGTCCCATGTCAATTCTTTTTTTATTTTATTTTAAAAAAATATATTTTATTGATTTTTTTCAGAGAGGGATAGAGAGTTAGAAACATTGATGAGAGAGAATCATCGATCACCTGCCTCTTGCACACCCCCCACTGAGGATGTGCCCACAACCAAGGTACATGCCCTTGAACGGAATCGAACCTGGGACCCTTCAGTCCGCAGGCCGACGCTCTATCCACTGAGCCAAACCAGTTTCGGCACCATGTCAATTCTTGATATTATTTTTCCCCCCTTATCATCATTTTTGTGTGAGGTGTGTCTTTTAGACTTTTCAAGTCACCAGCTTTTTATTTTGTTGGTCACCTCTACTTATTTGTTTTCCTACTTTTGTTGAGTGTTTTCTTTCTGATTTTCTTGGGTTTACTTTATTGTTCTTTTCCTAGCTTCTTGATTTGAACTTTTAAACAACTTATTTTTAATAATTTAAATAAAAATTTTAACAAAAATTTCTGCCTTTAAGTATAAGTTTGCTCTTTTCAGTGCATATTTTGATATTGTAGTGCTTTCATTGTCATCCAGTTCTAAAAATACCCTTTCCAATAGTATTTCGCTCTAGTTCTCAGAGATTTAAATGTGACCGAGCTGTCTGTACTTTGTCACAAAAAAGGGTTTTCCATGTGACTATTTTGGTGAGTGTCAAAATAAGAATTTATGGTGTATCAATTCATTTTTAATTAAGATACACACACACACACACATGCTAAAACTATAGCCTTTTCACATTAATTTTATTAGAATCAACTATTCATATAGATGAGAAATTCTTCTTTTCATTTTTCTAAGATTTTAATCTAATTTAATGATGGGTTATTATTGCAGAACTTGAATGGAAGTTAGCAGAAGTTGGAGCAATACAGACTGATTTGGAAGAAAATCCCAAGAAAGGCATTATAGATGTGATGGTATCTTCAATAAGGAATACTTCTATTTATGATGACAATGACAGTTCAAACAGTGATGATGGCAATACCAAATAGAGGGAAATAGTTAATAAATAGACTTACAGTGTTTATGTACTGAATATTTCATTTGTCACTGCCTTTATAATCAGAGATCAGAAAATTTGTAGATTTATTGTCAGTTTCATGTTAAGAGTTATAGCTCAGACATCATTTAAAAAACTTTCAGATATTTCAGAAATTGCCTAACAAAACCAGAATGTATACTGAATCCTTAAATTATTTTTCTCTGGCTTATTCTTTTTCTGAACCATTTTGGACAAAAATGATAATATTACAAGTCCTATGAATGAAAATGATGAAAGAGAACCATGAAATTTCATTTAATTTATATTAATAAAATTTAAAGTCTATTATTTAGGGGCCTTGAGTGTAAATACTTAAAATGTGACCATATGCTTTTTCTTTGAAATTTTTCACTTATTAAAAAAATTAACCACTCAATATAAAAATGCAATTTAGCCCTAGCCAGTTTGGCTCAATGGATAGAGCGTCAGCCTATGAACTAAAGGGTCCCAGGTTTGATTTCGGTCAAGGGCACATGCCTGGGTTGCAGGTTTGATCCCCAGTAGGGGGCGTGAAGGAGGCAGCTGATCAATGATTCTCTTATCATTGATGTTTCTACCTCCCTTTCCCTCTCCCTCTCTGAAATCAATAAAAATATATTTTAAAATGCAATGTAAACAATTCTAAAAAGTTCATTTAAAAAATCCACTTATTATTACTGTTTTAACAGTTCTATTATTAAGTTAGAAAATGAATAAATACTGTCATTAATAGACTATAGAATCATTAGAACTATAAGTTTCTAAATCAGTAGAAGTGATAAAAGCATATTGTGAAGTTTACCTATGTTTTAATAGTAATACCAGAATAAATCAACAGAAAACATACAAATTAGGAAATTGCAGAAGACCTGCAGGATGTTTTATTTTGTTTTAATAATGAAAACCATTTTTATTTATTTTTACTTTTTATTTTTGTTGATCCTCAACTGAGGATATTTTTCCCATTGATTTTTAAGAGATAGTGGAAAGGAGGGAGGGAGGAGAGAGAGAGAGAGAGAGAGAGAGAGAGAGAGAGAGAGAGAGAGAGAGAGAGAGAGAGAGAAGTATTGATGTGAGAGAGACACATTAATTGATAGTCTTCTGCACAGGCCCCAAACAGGACCAGGGATTGAACCTGCAACCCAGGTACATGTCGTTAACTGGGAATTTAACCTGTGACCCTTCAGTGTGTGGACCAATGCTCTAACCACTAAGGAACACTGGCCAGGGCATGAACACCATTTTTAGAGAAAAGCATGGTAAATCTAGCATGTACCCTGTTTCCCCGAAAATAAGACAGTGTCTTATATTAATTTTTTCTCCCAAAGTTGCGCTAGGTCTTTCATATTTTCAGAGGATGTCTTATCTTTCCATGCGCTAGGTCTTATTTTTGGGGAAACAGGGTAGTAGTTCAATAACAGATTTTTTTTTTTTTACCTTGCTTATTTTGATGATCCATCATTCTGACTATAGTTGTGAGAGAATCTAGACTAAGTTGAAATGATTAGATTACAAAAATAGATTTGTGAGATGTGAGACAGTTTAACAAGGAGTCAAGAAAAGGCTCACTGCTGCTCTTAGGGCTATGTAGGGATCTTAGAGGCTGCACAGAAATGATGAACTGGAAGAAAAGTTGAAGACAGATTTGAGTAAGGTAATTATAATTCATTTCAACAGGTAGGGTAACATCAAATAGTCTAATTTTGGAAGGAATTAGGAAGACCCCTTCTAAAATAGCAAAGAAGGGCTCTTAAAATATATAGCTCGGGATGAAGGGAAGGAAAGTTGTGAAGGAAAATTGTGAGTTGCATGTGATGGTGCACACTTACATAAGAGAAATAATTACCTATACTGATCCAACTCCTGAAGTTCTCTTTAACAAATAAATGGATACATTTCTATTCAATATAAAACCATTGTGGAAATGGTTTTATATTGAATTTTATATTGAAAAACCATATAATCATAAACTTAAAATGAAACTTTAATGCCATCTAATGCATATAAATATGAATATTATTTTCCCCCTCAATGGAGAAAGTCCCCCTAAATTTAATCCTTTTCTAGTAAGTATATATCTATTTTTTAAAATGAACAGAGCAAATACTAATAAATCATATTTAAGATATCTGAATTAAAAAGATGCATAGTATTTCCCTCTTAACTCTTAACTCAAATCCAGCAGGTGGCAGTAAGTTTTTATCCATAATCACAGTTCATGAAAACTTTAACATTTGTAAAAAATCCTAAAAATATAGCCTGTTAATTCCAGCCCTAGCCATTTTTAAAAGTGGGCGTGCGTGTATGAACACACACACACACACACACACACACACACACACGCACACACACACACTTCTGGCAAGTACTCCTGCTTCCATACACAGGTCAGTACTACTTCCTTATGCTTCCTCATTTATTCTCTAAGTAGGGCATAAATATTGGTTAGAATGCAGAGGCATTACATAATTCTAATATTGTGTTTCCCATTTTATGAATTTTTCATTTGATGGGATACAAACAAAAATTTTTTTTAAATGCTTGTATTGATTTCAGAGAGGAAAAGAGAGGGAGAGGTAGAAACATCAATATTTAGAGAGAATCATTGATTTCTGCATCTTGCACACCCCTTATTGAGGATTGAACCTGAAACCCATGTACCCTGACCAGGAATTGAACTGTGACCTCCTAGTTCATATGTCGACACTCAACCACTGAACTACCCCAGCTGGACAAGATTTACAGAGGAAAGGAGAAGGATAGAGAGTTAGAAACATTGATGAGAGAGAATCATAGATCAGCTGCCTCCTGCACACCCCCCACTGGGGATGTGCCCAAAACCCAGGCACATGCCCCTGATCTGAATCCAATCCCGGACCCTTCATTCCGCAGGCCAACACTCTATCCACTGAGCCAAACTGGTTTCGATAAGATTTTTTTTTTTTTAGTTGCCAATATTCAACTGTTTTTTGACCTACAAACATGGATATTTAATATGTTCCAACCTAATATTTTTTTCCCTCTATTCCTTGCTGCCAACTGTGCTCTTTGGAAATTCCCTTCCTTACCTTATAGTGCCTTGTTTGTCAGAGTGTGGTCCTGGAATCAGAAGCACCCCAGGGAGCTTGTTAGAAATGCAGAATCTCTGGACCCATCCCATACTCACTGAATTGGAAATTTTGTTTTAGTGAGATTCTTAGGTGATTAAGCAGCATTGAGTAGCAAATTCCTCAAAGACATCTTGAACATATTTTTTATTTTTTTCCTCCACACTCTTATTAAAAATGTGTCTGATTTGCTTTAGTCAATGGATAGAGCATTGGCATGCAGACTGAAGGTTCCCTGGTTCGATTCCAGTCAAGGGCACATACCTGGGTTGCAGGCTTGATTCCTGTCCCTGTGTCAGGATGCATGTGGGAGGCAATCAATAAATATGTCTCTCTCATATCGATGTTTCTCTCTCTGTATCTTCCTCTCTCCCTTCTACTGTCTCTAAAAATCAATGGGAAAATATCCTCGGGTGGGGATTAACAAAAAAGTATGTTTGGTTTAAAATCCATTCTCAGTTCTAAGGCAAGTTCTCTGACTTAACTGTGACTCAAGAACTCTGAAGACAGAAGGTGCGGTTTGTTTTTAGTCATTTATTTCCCTCTCTTTTCAAGGCCCTTTCTCTCTGGTGTGGGTGGGGTCTGGAAGGGAAATTGGGAAGAAAGGAATACATTTCTCTCTGCTGGTTAAGTGCTATCCATGTCGCATCTTCATGGTCACTCATTAATGGGCACAAGAGTTGTATAAACTCTGAGGCAGGCTCTCCACGCACAGTTCTTTGACATGGAGGTCAGCCGGCAGCTTTCTTTCTTCCAGTCTCGCTCAGTTCCCACTTTCAGGTATATCCAGCCATTTGCTGCTAGAATTTCTTCCCCCCCTTAGGTGTCAAACCTGAACGGCACCTTCTACAGAGCATCAGTGGACCCAGGAGAAACATACACATTCTTGCCATGCCAAATTATAGAAGTGTACATTGCTTTACTCAACCTATACCTTAACCAGATGTTTCTCTCCAGTCTCCATCCTCCTGTTTATGTAGGTGCAGGTAACGTCAGCAAATCTGTCAGTGGATGAGATAAAAGTTTCTCCTTACATCTCCCTCCAGTTTCTCTAGCGAATTCTATTGGAGCCTTGTTTGTTTAACTTCAAGTGGGGTGGGGGATAAATCAAAAGGAAAAGCCACTGTACTGCCCAGAAACATGGCTAGCGCCAGTAATTCTCTACTGTTCCTCTTTCTAAGTCTTCTGCTTATATGACTGGAGAGGTAGGGTTTAAGTATAGACTTTTACTGCCACGCTCATAATACTATCTGGTATTATTGTACTTTCCTCTGTTAAAGGATCTAGAAAGAATATGAGTAATTGAGCAAACCATGAAGGTTTTTCTAAAAGAAACCTTATATTCCCTAATATGCATGTCTTAAACTTCCTATGTTCCATTTTCCTTAACATGTAGTGGTAAAAGAGTGAATGTTGGTGAAAGGATGGATGAGAGAAGTACTATGAATGTACAGAGAGAACTTTGTGACAGGACATAGGGAACTAGGGAAATCTGAGCAAAAGAGATGTAAAAATTATACAAAAAAGGAACATCATTAATAATAGCCAACACTAACTTGGGATTTCTTATGTACTGGGTGTAATTACACACATAGATATATACACACACCCTATGTGCCATCTATATACTATATCTCCTCTCAATTATTCTATCAGATGGGACAATTATTATCTTCATTTTACAGATGAGGGAACTGAAAAACAGAAATAACTTGTTCAAAGTCATGTAGATATTACAGTAAGTGATGGGGCTGGGATTTATTTTATTTATTTCCATCCCCATTTATCCTCCCTATACCCTCTTCCACTTCACCCACACCTTTCCCTCATTTGTTACAATCTCCACACTGGTGTCCATGTCTAT